ATGAACATTTAAGCACCTTGCGCGCTGCGGTTACAGTAATCTAGGCCTCATGAGCCAAGATGGTTTTATACTGTGTAGTCTCTCTCTCGTCGTGGAGAAAAAGACCAGACAAGGCTTGACTGAACAACACCATAGGAGAACAGCAAATCAAAAGCTCGAGAAATGACTTTTCTCAACAAGAAAGAAACTGAAAGCGCATATCATGATATGAAAGAGAATGAAAAACCGAATGGAACAAGTACAAACATAAATAGATCAATTGGAAAACAAGGCACAACACTGGAAAAAAAAAATTTTTGGTCGCGCAGAGAGAAAAAGATTTTGGAAAAAAAAAACTTTTCCCGTGATACACTAAATGCTTAGCGCATACCATAATGAGAAAGAGAACGAAAAGCAGATTCAAATGAGTACAAACATGAAAATATCAATGGAGAAACAACGCCCAACTTTGGCAATAAAAAGTTTCGATCGCGCTATCAGGAGAGGATTCCAGAAAAAAAATTTTCTCGATGTCATCGAAACGAGAAGCGCGTACCATCCTTGGAAAGAGCATGAAGAACAGATTCAAATGAGTATGAACATGGATATACCAATTGAAAAACAAGACACAACATTGACAAAAAAAATTTGTTGGTCACGCTATCAGGTGAGGATTTTGGGAATAAAAACCTTTTGTGGGATCAACGAAACCCTGAAGAATGGAAAGCCGATCCGAATGAGTATAAGTATAGATTATGAATCGAAAAACAAGGCGCAACATTGACAAAAAAAAGTTTTGGTTATACAGACAAACTGAATGAGAAACACTTCTTAACAGCGGATGCAAGGTGATGTGCCAGAAAGACCAAGGAAAAAATGGAATATGTTTGAACATGTGCATAATGACGATTTCTCACAAGGTAATAGCTGTAACCAAACAGTCACAAGTATTTCTCGGGTATTGAGAACGATGAAAGCGTTTCATATGTGAAGACAAGGATAGGCTTTGATACTATTCATTATTTAAGAACAGGCTAGAATAGACAGAAAATAAATAACTTTCTCACCTCAAGAACACTTTCTAGGATGTTTTGATCGAAAAACATTAGAAAGCAGATTTGAATAAAGATATAAACAAAAACATGATCAATCCCTATAAATTCTTGTGAAATCACCTCCTTGTGTTCTTCGGTGTTCGCAATAGAGCACATGTTATGAGCCGATCTACCGAATCTGCTATGAACTCTGCTTTTCATGTGGTTTCGATGTTAATTTTAAATTTTTTTCATGAAATTTCGTTCCAAAAACAACAAATGGACATTATATTTGAGTTCATAATAAAATTCTGATCTAAAACAACGTTTGAAACAGACAATTTCATCAACTCTGAGCCTTTACAGCATTTCCCCCAAAGAGAACGACCGAGTCATTTTTTTTTCACCAAAAAATTTTTTTCACGTGGCGTATGTCCGCGGAGGTATATAAGCTGGAAGACGACTGATTCAAATCAGTTGGCGGTGTGTGCCGGTGAGCTACACTCTTCTCTCTCTGGAGGCTACAATTGCATTCTGGAAGCACGGTTGCATTCCACCCGTAACTATAGATAACTTTGACTGTTGAACAAAACTGAAACGGAAGGAAGGCATAAGCTTGATATTGAATGCGCGAAACCCAACATCAAATTATCGATCAATTACATTACTGGAATAAAACGGTTTCATTTTAAATATTCTTAATACATAAACGAAAACGGACATATTGCAGAGAACAAAACGGTTTTGACCTACTGCCCTCTATCAATCCATATCTTGAAGGAAACTCAGAGCCCGTCGAAGAGACCATTGAATCAAACTTTCTTCTCAATCATTTGCAAAGCATCCAAAATAGAGCTGAAGAAAAGTTTGAAAAGTAAAACTAAAACAAAAATTATTATAATTGTGGCTAACACGGTATTCTGAAACATGAATAGAATATTATGAAAGTGATCTAGTGTACTATCACCTCTTGTCGCAGATTTATATTTTCCACTGAAACTTTTTCGTTCTGCTCTGAAAGACTTTGACACTTCTTAATTTCAACTGTGTTCTCTCCTTTCTGATAAGTCTGAAACATAATGAATGGAGAAGGGAATGGTTGTCGTTAGTTCTAACCATGTCCATTGTTTCGTAACGTGTTAATTTATGTGTCAGCTTGTTTACTTCAGCTCTGAGTAGAATGTTGTGAGAATCAAGTTTTCGGACCTTCAAAGATATCTAGGTTCATGCACAAGAGATGTTAAACCTGCAATTGCATAGCGATAATCACCGCTATCAATAGAATTACAAAAATATACAAAAATTTCTTCCATGTCTCCTGTAGGCAGCCCTGTAACGTAGTATTATTGTATCTACAGATCGAATATGAAAAACCTCGTTTTCCGAAGTTGTTACTTCCAGTATATCTTCTCTTGTTTCCGAAGAGGTGAGAGAGTTCTTAAACTCTTTCACGGTGCTCCTTCTCTTTCTTTCTACATTCTGAATCAAAAACGAGTGAGATGAGCAAAAGTAGGAAAGTTACCGTCTTCAAACGCTCATTCTTAACTTCCAGTCGTTGAACTTTATTTCTCAATTCATTGACTAATTCTTTTTGCTGAAAGAGCAATAAACGAGATAAGAATGTGTGAGAGATGTATCACTTTCATTCTGTCTGTTAACAGAATCATAACTTGCTCAGCAGTCTCCTCTAGACTCTCTTTTAATACATTGAGTTGATGAATCTGTTGTATATCTGTTAACAAATTATTTTCAGTCTCTTGTCATCTCTTTCTCTCTACTAACTTATTGATTCTGCTTTGTCGGTAACGGTACACTCTCTAGAAATAGAAAAATCTACTGACACTTTCTAGCATAGGATATAGAACGTACGATGAAGACAGTTCATCATGTAAACTTCTTTTCAGTATTGACGAAGCGAATGAAGAGCATCTCGCTGGTAAAACTGAAAACACTTGAAAATAAAAAACTTTCATACAGCTCCCAACTTACTTGTTTGTTTATTTTCATCATCTTTTACATCTGATATCAAAGAATCACTTTGAATATATTCAAAATCACTATGAATAGAACTTTCGCAATCATACTTCTCAATCGTACAAATGTCTTCTGATTCGTAGTCCATGTTATGACAAATCGACAACTTTCATAAAAAAAAGAGAACATTTCAAAAAGAACATAAAGAGATTATCTAAGAGCTTTTCGCAAATCAACAATCAAACAATCAGTTTTGTAAGGAAGAAAAAGGAAAAAAAGAAAATTATTGGAAATGGTTGGTATACGCAACTATCCTATCAACATAAGGTTACACATCACACGAAAAGTTTGATAAAAATCTTGATATGAAGTTGAAGAAAGCAAAACACATGTTTAGTCTCAACCTTCAGCCCCTTAATGCTGTTATAGTATTGAACAACAACGTGTTTGTTTACTTCATTAAGTAAATAACAATAAATTAATGTATACAACTATGAACATGTCTTTGTTATCACATTTCTCAATGGAGCACCCTTTCCTAATTGGTCCAGAATAGCTTAGTATATTACTGTCAAACCAGTCCAAGGTTATCATCAGCTGTTCATATAGATATAATATCATAATTAACATAAATTTTCACGTAAAAATCACGTAAACGTGAAAGCATCAAGAGATACTTATTCAGCATTCATGTCATATTTTCATGAATCGACGTATGACTCACGTAAAATCCACGTAAGCTCAAATAACACTCACGTAGATCCACGTGAAACTCACGTAGATTCACGTCCATTGACGTAATCATTTCATTGTATGCAAGAGCATTGGACGGTTGCCATTACCTTCAGATCCCTCCCTTTCCCAAATAATATATTTTTAATATCACAATTTCAGAATTTTTGTTTGTTTCGTTTAAAGTTTAAATGATTTTCGAGAAAACTTCTTTTTTTTTTCATGTTTGTCGACATTTTCTATTTGTGTTCCGAGGAGAGGAATCCTTTACTTCTTATTGTAAGAGCACTTTTTTATATGAAGCTGATTAGCATTAACAAGAATGAGAGAGAGAGAGAGCTATAGAGAGAGTAGAAGAGAGGGAGGAGTGTTACAAGAGGATAAAAGGAGTTAAATGAAAGGAAATGTCTGCTGTTAGAAACAAATTCATTAATCTTCTAAACTTTCCACCTCCCATCTCTTTGCATTTCTCAATTTATCTTTCATCTTTCTGTCTCTCTCTCTATCTCTCTATAGATATCTCTCTCTCTCTCTATCTCATCATTTAGCATAATGTTTGAGGTATATATAACGAGCTGTTACCATTTTCATAGAGCTTCTGTTGTTAAAATATGTTTCATTAATCTTCTCTAATCTGCTCACATCATTTAGCCTTATGTATAGTTATTGTCATTCTCATCTCAGATAGTCACGTCGGTATTCATTTATTGGCAGACAAGTGTCCAGCTGTAATACATAAAAGATTATTCAAAATGAAGAGATATCAATAGATTTAGGTGAAATGGATAGATGGCCAGAAGAGTATAGGAGGGGGGGTTGAGTGAACAAAAGCTTTCATCTGGCAACTGGCTTCATCTTCTTCTTCTTCTTCTTCATCTTTATTCTTCTTTGAACCCACAACATTTTTGTCTTCTTCTTCTTTCTTTGCAACTTTATGAGGTTTTCGTTTTCTAATCGATCCGCTACTTTGTTAGTTCCTTTATCAAATTTCTATTTTTAAACTTCTTTAAAAGCTTTCTCACCCCCTCTCTCTCTCTCTATCTTTCTCTCTCCTATTCTCCCTTTCAACGAAAAACTGTTTTATGGCAGTTGTAGCTTAACTAGCTTCTCATGGCTGTGTGCTGTGTGTCGTCCATTAGATTCTAACACATTACATCCATATTTTAACCAATTCTCTTCTTCTACATCTCAACCAAAATCATTTTTGAAAACCGATTGAACAATGGCTATTGGCAATCGCTTCTCGCTCACTCACTCACTCCTCATCTCTTCTCCTTTCCATTCAATCAAAACCATCTGTGGAAGAGAGCTTTTCAATTCTTCTTTTTTTTATATTTCCCACATGGTTGTAGTCATTTTCATTCATTCATCTCGTTGTTTTGTGATGATGTTTCATCCATAAGCCTTGCATGTCAACTAACAACTAGATGTTCTGATTTTCATGAAAATTGAGATAAACCAAGAGAATTTCTTTCCGTTTTCTCCATTTTGTTAGTTTCCTTCAGTCTCATCATTATCGACTGATGTTTCTCTTCTTTCTTTCTCTCTCTCTCTTTCTTTTTTTGAAACTTCTTCTCGCATTCCCTCTTTCTCTCTATCTATTTCTCTCTATCTTTCGTTTCCTATCGGAACTATCGCTCTGTCTTCTCTCTACTTAAAGCTCATCGATGCTAACATTGTAAAAATCTGAGACCTTGTTTCATTGGCAATAATCCAATGGCTGAAGGGCAACTTGCATCTTTCGCCATCAACTTTCTAACCAAAAGTTTTATCTTGATTTTCCTCCCTCCAGCTAGTCAGTCAGTCAGTCAGTCTGTCTGTCCCCCCTTCCTTTCTCCTGCATCACAGAAGAAACCTTTTTTTTGTCTTTTTTCAAGCAAAAGCTTCACCGCTTGAATATTCTAAATGAGAGATTCATTTTCAAAATTGTGATCAAAACCGGTTGAAACCCATTCGGATGAATCGTTCTCTCTCTAAGTTCTGCCCAATGTTTCATTCATAAGCGATTAATATGAGAGAGGAAGGAGAGACTGTCCGTTCAAGAACATACAGAGATAATCGTCGACGAGACGGTTTGTTTCTGTTTATGGCGATTCTTCTCACATTTCTTACAAAAATTAACAGAGAAATGGTGAGAGGTAGGGCAGTTAGATGTAGAGAGGTAGAGAGAGACTGAGAGAGAGGAATTCAGAAGAAGAAACGGATTTTCATTGTCCTTCAATCTGTTATCACCTTTTGTCCAACAAATATCTTGGAAAACAAGATGGTACAGAAGGAAGAGACGATATTCAAATTGCTTTTCAACTTCTCCATAATCATAATCAGAATGATTAATAACTTTCCATTCTCAATCATCAATAGAGAATATATTCTAAACGAATATGTTTGTTTTGCTTTTGTTGTTGTAAAGTCGTTGTGTCAACCTGTTCATATCGGTTTTGTTCAATTTGTATCAAAAAGTTTGAGAGAGAAATGAAATGAGAGACATAGAGAGAGAGAGAGAGGGAGAAAGAGAGAGAGGTGATTGTGTATTTACTAGACTGTCTAAAGAGATAGGTAACACAAAACGTGAGTAATCACACAAAAGATACTACGAGAGAGAAAGAGAGAGACAGAGAGAGAGAGAGAGACAGTGTATGAGAGGTATACATAGAGAGAAAGAGAAAGAAAATAAAAAAAGTTGGTAAAGTTGCCAACCAGTTTGCTTATGAAAAGAGCAGGGCGTAAAATGATTGTTACTTTACTCTCTATGTTTCTCAGTCTCTTTCAGTTGTACTACCCTCTGCTTACCCATGATTCTCTCTCGAAACACTAGTCTATACTATGATGACAGAGACATATAACAAGTCCCAGATTACAATTTTCTTTTTTGCACACATTCCCCACAATCCATTGTGTTTATAAAAGGGAGAAAAATTACTTTTTTTCTTGTCATTTAATGAACAATTCAAGTTCAGTTCTGAATACGTGTCGGCTCATTTCATCTGATGGCTTTTTCACTTTTACTTTGACCCCTCTCCCTCCCTTCCCGTCATTCCCTCCCTTCCTGTCCTCCTCCTCCTTCTTCTCTTTCTGCTTCTTCTTCTTCTTTTCCTCCTCCTCATTCTCTTTATCTTCAAAGTAAGAAGGGTTTTTTTCAACTTCATGATTTTCAAAAGAAGAAGAAGAGTAATTGGAGAGAGTCTCGCTGTTCCCGTCTCGATCTTCATCGACATCATAGACGAATCAAGTTCTCAGGAGCTCTTTACTTCTCTGCCCTTTCCTCCTTGTCTTCACCACAGACACACACACGCACACACACATAGAATGAGCTGCCCCTTTGCCATTGAAAAACTTATTTCTTTCCCGAAAATCAAATCATTTTCTATTTTATTTCTGATTCATTTGAAGCAAATGTTAAACTGAGAATATTAAGTCTTACCGTAATCAGTTTGTTAATTTCGTTTCGAAGCCAAAAAAAAGGAAAATTGAGAGATAGAGAGAGATAGAGAGAGAGAGAAAGTAACATAGAGAGGAGTAAGAGCATGTAGAGAATTTCCAAAAAAAACTTTTATGCGAAATGGAAAAGCTCTTTCGTTGCTCATGAAACGACTAGTCGATGATCGTTTCTAAATTTGGAATTTCAACAATTTCATTGAACCGTATGACCTTTTATGGAGAGACAAAGTTTGTTGATTTCAACGAACGAAGGCTATCAGAAGAACTGAGAGAGAAGTGGGGGAGACAGTTGTTCCAATTTCTGATGAAATTCTTATCGAATTCAAATGTGATTAAACGCTCCTTTCATAATCTCTCATTTGATACCTGATTCAATCAAAAAGCAGCTTCTTCGTCTCAATAAAGAGAGAGAGAGAGAGAGTATGTGAGTGAGAGAGTAAGAGGTAAAGAGAGCTGTCCAGAGAAAGAGAGATGAAAGAGTTGAAGCGGAAAATCATCGCTCGCGACTAGTACCTCTATACTAACTTTTGATATAAGCTTGTCTTCTCATAATGTCACATGAAAACCTCTGAAGACGTATTTGCCATGACGGCCGGCTGATCAAGTTTGTCGAATTTCACCGCCATCATCACCATCATGCCATCCCCATCTTACTCCCACTAGAGAGCAAAGAGAAGCTGTCAGAAATCAGTTGAGTCATGTGACAGTTCATAAAAAAATTTCGTCCAACCTACAGCTAGTCTAGGTGATCAAATGGCTGTTAGTTGTTTCAAAAACTTCAGCTGGCACACCACCATTCTCTCTCTTAATGTGTGTCTCAGTTGCCATTCAGTCTCTGTCACTCTCTTTGTCTCTCATACTCATTCCCTCTCTCTCTCTCTTCTAGTTTCACATTTTTTGAAATTCTTTCAGTCTCAATGACTAAATAGACATTTGCTCTTTGGCATTTCGGAAACATTGCCTTCTTAAGCTCAGGTTGAGTGAGTGTGTGTATGCGTGTGTGTGCCTGTGTATGTATGTGAACATTCAGTTCAACACTTACTTCTCACAGTTTCACCCCACCCTCCATTCTTCCTCCTTCTCCTTTCTCCCCGTAAAAGGCAAAGAAGGCAAATACCTTTTGTGTTTTCAAATAAGAAACATATACGAATTCTCTCGTAATTTCCTTGTCGTCGTTTGAAGCATCGCAAAATGCGTGAAGGTCGTCCTTCTTAAAGCATCTTTACAAGCGACAATGCCATAATCTGCCTGTTTTCATCGGATATTTTATAGCCTCGGGCAAGCAACCTGTTTACTTGCGCTTTTCCATAAGAAACTATCAATTATCATTTGCGCTTTTGAAAGTGCTGAACAACTGACATCTTTCCGGTCAGAAAGATGAAAAAGTTTGTCTGAAAAAACAATTGTTTGTCAGCTCATTCTGGTTGTCTGCTCAATCATCTATTGCTATCATCATCATCACCATTCTTGTCTCTTTCCATCTCTTACTTATACTTCTTCTCTCTCTCTCTCTCTCTCTCCCTTCTCTCGTAATCAATATGAGTCAGGTAGAGGGATCGAGTATTGAGAGGAAAGAAGAAAAACGCCAATGACGACAACGTCCGACGACGACGGCATCTGTGGCACCACGCCCATCAGCCATTTTGGCGTAAAACAGTCACACAACAGCCATTTGATTGTCGTTAGTTGTGGCTGACAATGGCCATCATCGAATTACATCATTTTTCATTCTTTCCCAACTTTCGTTTGGCTTTCCTCCTCTCACACTCTCCCTTTCAATCTGCTTAGCTCCTTAGTCACTATTTGGCACCCTCTTCCTCTCTCATTCTCTTTCTCTCTCTCTCTATGTCTCTCCATCATCTCTCCTCCAGGTATTCTGAAGTTTGTTGAGAAATATGTTTTCCATTGTTTACTTTCTCTTTCTCTCTCTCATGAAACTCCGTTTGTTTCAAATAATTAATTAAACGTTGTTTATTTTATAGGTAATTCCCGATATTCAAACATGGCTTTCGAGACCAACTTCGTAAGTTTTCATCTTCATCATCATCCTATTGATCAGAAAAATCATTTCAAACTTCCATATTTGTGTGAGAGATTAGTATGAAGAGACTGGTTGTCATGACAATCATCAGTACTCTCGTCTTTGACCAGGAAAAAGAGGAAAAAAAAATCTTTTTTTCTCATACTCTCTCTCTCACACAGAGACTACCAACCATCCCATATATCCCCCTATATGTCCAATTGAGCCAGTCGCGAATTATATTTTCATAAAAAGCAGCTTTAGCTAATTTTGACAAAAGATTAGAAAGTCAAAGAACATATTTGCTGCTAATCTTAAGCTTCTTCCTCCCCAACCTCCCTTCACACAGCATGTCATTGCTTTGCATTCATGTTAACTAAGATTTCCTTTTTTTAGCCAGTTCCATACCGCAGCAAGCTGACTGAGCCTTTCGAGCCAGGACAGACCTTGATTGTCAAGGGAAAGACCGGAGAAGACTCCGTCAGGTAAGAGCTTCGATACTCTTCTTCCACACCTCATCATCAAACGATTGAAAACAATGTCAAAACGCGTTGTTCATTGTTTTGCAACGTTTTAAGAATTTTATTTGTTTTCTTCTAATTTAAATGCTATGTCCTTGAGTGGACAAAAAAGCGGAAAATATTCTCATTTTCTCTCTCTCACCCTTCTCTCTTCATCTTCCTCTCTTAAAAGAGAATGAAAGAGAGAGAGAGAGAAGGAGGTAGTGAGAGAGAGAGAGAGAGAGAGAGATCAAACTAGTTGTAAGATCGTTTAGAAGTTTGCGTATCAACAGAATGATACCACGTTGATCAACATTTTTTAAAAAAAAAAAGGAAAAGAAGAGAGATAGGAGAAGAGAGAGAGTTAGAGGAAAACTACTATTTGAAACTTCATCAACCTTTTTCTTCTTCTTCAGATTCACCATCAATCTTCATAACAACGCTGCTGATTTCTCCGGAAACGATGTTCCCCTTCATATCAGCGTCCGTTTCGATGAAGGAAAGGTATGTTATCAAACAATCACCCCCACAGAGATATAGATATGATAGATATCAAATATATATTTCGTCATTCACATATAAGTTATCTCTAATCATTTCCTGTTTAGATCGTCTGCAATACCTTTGCCAAGGGAGAATGGGGAAAAGAAGAGCGCAAGAGTAATCCATTCAAGAAGGGAGATGACATCGACATCAGAATCCGTGCTCATGACAGCAAATTCCAAATCTTCTGTGACCAGAAGGAATTGAAGGAATACGAACACCGTGTTCCTCTTTCCTCCATTACTCACTTCTCCATCGATGGTGATGTCCTCATCAACCACATTCACTGGGGAGGAAAGTACTACGTGAGTCTTGAATCTATTTCTATTTATAAATATATATATAAATGAATCAATAATGTTATTCAAATGATATTGTTCCAGCCAGTTCCATATGAGAGTGGACTTGCCGGAGATGGTTTGGCTCCAGGAAAGACCCTTGTCGTCTTTGGAATTCCAGAGAAGAAGGGAAAACGTTTCCACTTGAACTTGTTGAAGAAGAACGGAGATATCGCTCTTCACTTCAACACCCGTTTCGACGAGAAGGTATTTGATATTATAAAAAACAATACAATAGCTTCTTGTTATAGGCTGTCGTCAGAAACTCTCTTATCGCTGGTGAATGGGGAAATGAAGAGAGAGAAGGAAAAATTCCATTTGAGAAGGCTGTCGGCTTCGACTTGGAAATTAAGAATGAGGAATACGCTTTCCAAGTAATCAAAAGATCATTCGAAATTGAAACTTTCATCTTAATTACTTCAGATTTACGTCAACGGTGAGCGATTCGCTTCCTATGCTCATCGTTTGGAGCCCCATGAGTTGAATGGACTTCAAATTGGCGGAGACGTTGAAATTTCCGGAATTCAAATTCATTAAGAAAGTCCTGAAGGCTATGTTCAGCATACCATCAGCTTCATCAACAACACACACCACCACTACCATCATGCAACAACATCATTTGCATATGATTTGAGTAGAATAGCTTGATACAACGTCATCAGCCATATATGGCTATTGATGTCTACAGTCTGCTATTCTACTCAAATCTTAATTACAAAATATATAAACTATACGACAAAAAAATTATTTAATCAAGGATCTGTATTAGCTTACATCTTCCCATATAGCTTCAGCTGCTTCCATCCGTTTAGCATTTAGTATTCTGAGATTTGCATCTGATCATCTATGACCATCATCTACTGATACATTGAGTTCAGATGCAAAATCAGAATTATTAGCTCTCGCTATTACAGATTTAAACATTGTGTTACATACTCTTCAGCCCTTCAAAAGCCCCATAACTTTCCCTTATGTATTACTTCTTCTCTCTCTCTCTCTCTCTCTTAATATCTCTCTCTCTCTATTCATTGCCTATATAAGGCTATCTATCTATCTATGCATCAAACACAAACTCTCTCTCTCTCTCTCTCCCTTCTTCTTTCAGTATTTTTAGAAATAAAAACATTTTCTTAAAACAAAATAAACAATAATATATATGATATAGTTAATGAAAACACTCACACAACACAGCACAGCACACATACACTCCTCTCCCAGAGTCCCGAGACGACGACATCAGCATTCGTAAGCAACCAATCAACGCCTAACTTTTAATTCAAATGAATGGCATTTATGCTAATCACGTATACGTCAATCACACACGTAAATGACGTCAAAAATCAATCAATATGATGAAGCTTCAAGTGCATACTCAGGATATTCAGATGGCAACTCAAGAATCATCACGAGTATCTTATATATAAGCTTTTTCAAAATAAATTTCACACACTTCTACCGAGTGTCTATAGCGCATGTATGCATGGCGATTCGAAGGGAAGGAAAGAGAGGAGGGTGAGTATGTGTGTGTGTATGTGTGTGTGTGCGGGAAATATTCCTCAATCAAGCTTCAGACCAAGAGCCACAGGCTATGTTTTAGAAATTAATTAGCCTTTTTCCAGGCAACAAATGCTTCCAACTAATTAACCGATTTTTGAAAAATAAATTTTTTGAACACGAAAATATGCGGCCGTCGAATGAAAATATTCCAATTTTCTATTAATATTGTAAGAAATCAGAAGAATTCTTTATTAACTTTTGGAAAAAGGAATTATATTCCGACGTCGTCTCGTCGTCGTTGTCGTCGTGATCGTCATCGTCGACATCATTGCACACAGCGAATCATTAGGCAGAAGATTCAGCAGCATTAACAGCTTTGGCTTCGGGTTTCTTCTCCGAACGTTGTTTGAATCTTTAAAAAAGCATAGAAGGTAATGTAACGAGAGATAGAGAAGATGGATGGAAGAATAGCGAAAGAGGATGAAAAAGTGCAATGAAGAGAGTTATATTCACCTGAAGGCACATTGAATCTTCTTGGCAGCAGCACTGACTTCCGGATCATTCAGATCGATATCAATATCCTGTCAAAAGGTCTTGTTCAGTCAAGTTGAGAATAGTCATTGCCGTGTATGGCACGACAGTTGGATTCCAGACAAAAAACCCAATTTTTTCACACTCAGACACTTGCATCTTCTTCTTCTTCATCATCATCTTGTGCTCATCTTCTCTTTCCTTCCATTCTGATATCTTTCTCGCAACTATTCAATTACAGAATTGCTGAGAAGAGGAAGAAGAAGGTTTTTAGAAATTAGGAAGGAAAAGCTGTAGCTGACGGAGACGTTAAACGTGATATTCTCTTTCATACAGCTCTTGTTCCAATGAAAACATTAAAAAGAATCAGCTAAAAGCAGCTTCTATGCAACTCCCATCGGATTCGTTAAGTTTCCGTCGAAAACATTGATGAAAAATGTTTTTGTGAGGCTATCCATTCCAAGGAATGAGAAGATATAAGTCAAATTCTGTTTTTTATTTCATTTATTATGCTATTTATGCGTAATTGTACATTCACACACACTCACACACACACACACACACATACACACACACACACCCCCACACGAGCCACAGCAAACCAGCCAGCCAGTTAACCAGCCAGCAAGCCAGCCATACACAATTGCTTCTTTAACAGATAGATATGCATATTACTTTGATGCTCAATCTCTTCTTTCATCTTTTCTTCAAATCCATTCATTTGCGTCTGAATGAGCATGGCTGCTCGCACTTGTTCCTCTCTTGACGGTGTATACATGCCACGTGTGTGCTCCAATCACTTTATGAAAAGCTTTAAAGACGCACAATACGTGAACCTCATGTAATGACCATATAACGACTTGCCTATTCATCGTTTCAATCTATTTCAAACGAAATTGCTGATCAGAATAGTTTGGGGCGAGAAAACTGAGCACTAAAAGCAACTTCAAGACGAATAATGAAGTTAAAACGGAAAATTTACTTGCTTAAAGTGTTTTTTCCTTTCATTTTTCAAAAAAAAAAATTTTTTTATCAAAGTAATTGCTTAGTAAAGCATGCTCATTCCCTCTCTCTCTCTATCTTTCTCTCTCTATCTCCATTGGAGGTCTCTCTCCATCTCTCCGTGTTACTCTCTGATTGACAGAAAGTTTTCTATTTTGCCATTTCGCAGATGAAGAGACAAAAAAATATGAGAATATTATTAATTAAATCACGAAATTTTTATTTAAAAATTCCATAAAGTATGCAAAAGCCAGAGCTTGAAGCTGTGAATTTGCAAATATGATGACTGGCCAATCGTGTATGTTTCACCACGATAAACTAAGCCTCTCTAGAGAGGGAGATAGAGAGAGAGAGAGGGAGAGGATAAGCAAGATAAAGAGAGAAAAAGAGAGAGAGAGAGACAGTTATGTGATGCAAATTGAAAGCAAAAAATGAATTGAAAACTACTACATGAGAAGCAGATCAAATTCCACACTTTGAATAGATCTGCCCTCTTCTCTTGAACATTTCCAATTCTTGGCTCTCCTTCTCGATTCGCATTCGCTTCTTCTTTCTAGCAAATATTAACAAAGTTTCATTTGATTCAACACTTTCTTCAAGATATGAATGAATGCTATTGAAACAAAAACCCAACGACAACTACTTTCTCTCGTAACAGAAAACTCAAGTTGAATTTACCTGGTTGGGTGCCTTGTTTGAGGGATTTGTCTGGGTGTCAGCCATAATTACGCACAACCGATAAGTTTTTAGAATACGAGAGACCTCCGAACAAGAGAGAGGAACGAAATTGGACTGAGTAAGTCCTTCCTATGCCTTCAACGAGCAAGGGCGTGGTCTTGATGCTTTACTCTTGACGAAAGAGAAATGAAGAAAACGATGAGTGTGCTAGAGAGGTAGAAAAAAATGAATAAAGAGAGAATATAAAATAGAGAGAAATAGATAGAGAGAGTAACAGAGAGAGAATGAGAGAGATAGACAGATAATACGAAAGAGCAGAGAGATAAAGATGGAGAGAAAAAGAAAAGCTGTATGAGTAAAGAGATAAAGCTGAAAAAAGACGTAACCACCATCAACAGCTTAGAAGTCTATTTTCTTATTATCTGATAGCCATTCTTTCATTCGTTTCTACGAATCAGAATATATGTATGTCGTTCCATCGACATGAACAATCTTCAGAATTGTTGTTGGCAAACAATTTTTCAGGCACAAATGTTTCTTTATACATTACTATTTCGGCTATAAAACAACGTATGCGAGTAATCTATCCATATATAAAAACATATTTTCAGGATTTAAGCTTCCTCAAGTCCTTCAGATACTCTGATCAACTTGATAAAGCTGAACGGTTGGAATGCATAACCAGTTCCTTGATAGAATTTGGAGTTGAACTCAACCCTGAAAGAGAGGGAGCGTTTTTTTTTCCTTTTTTTTTGCATAAAAAGCAGAAAACAAAGTTCTTGGTGGATAGTTAATAATTCAACGGAAATTATACTATTAGCTTCTCGCTTCACAATAGTATTTTTCCCTATTTAATAGGCAGGGGGGAGAAAAAAATTTTTTTTTTCCCCTACATCCTATTCCAATAAACATTGAAGACGGACGACGACTATGCATATCATGGAGACTATGAGGTATAACAATAGGGAGATGCCTATGAGGAAGAGATCCTTTTTAAAGGAGAGGAGTGAGTAACTGCCAAACAGCTTCTGCTTGCTGTCCCAACCTCCTCCCCCCCCCTCAGCCTCAATTTTGCTGCCCAGAAAGCAGACGCGGACGGAACGACAACACGACAATGGGGCAACGGAGGGAAGAAATTATATTCAAGCAATTTCTTATTTTGTCCGAAATAAACTGAACTAACCAATGTAAACGAAGTGTATGCAGGAAAGCTGATAGTCCTTCCATCATGATGAGAATACCGATTGAGAGCCAAGCGAAGAAGAAGAAGAGAATGAACATTCCAGCTGCTCCTGCCCAACCACCCATCTTTAAACCAATAGCTAAGAGCATATCCCAAAGTACTTCAGACAATTCTGAAAACAGACAATGTTTGCATAAATATTAGAAAAGGACAAATTACGAGCATGAGCAAGTGATAAAGCCCACAAACGGAGATAAGAAGCAGTATGTGAGATGCAACCAAGTGCGAATTCAATAGTATGAATAGCTTGATAAACCATACAATCACCGAATACAAACTGAAAAACGTGTTAGATAATGAGAATATGTGTGAAACACCCGTTACTTCATGTCCATGCTCTTCATCTTCTCCTTCTCCTTCAACAGCATGTCCGTCATCAACTGGAAGTCCTCTCTTAGCACGCGATCTCAGGTAGAATGGCTTGACGAGAAGCATAACAGGAATAGAGAGTAAAGCTACTCCGAGTAAGATAAGTTCAATAGTTCCCTGAAAAGGTGACCGCTCATGTGATTCCAGGAAGTAAAACTTGACTCACCTGATTAGGATACCAAAGTTGTTGGAAACATTGGTCATACATCTCATACTTATAAGTTTTTCCATCAATTACTACAGATTGTGTGGCGTTAGCAGAATTAATCATAACATAACCAGGCTGAAAAGATTTTAATCAAACTGGCGAACTCTCAGTTTAGACTTTACATCACGTTTCTTAACCATGAACATGTTGATCAAACCGATAAGGAGAGATGGAGCACAGAAAGGTCCAGGGTAAAGATATCCGAAGATGAATTTGGGCTCGATGTAGATGAAGACCCATTTGAGAACAATCTACATCCTTATGTAAATGAGTTGAAAAGACATTAATCTTACCTGTACACACAAATATACGAAAATACAACCTAAGAAGAGACATTGGGGAATGAATACGAAGAAGATGTCAATGACAGATCGTCGATTACTATAAATAGCTTATATAATATATTATATCCTCATAATGAAAACTTACATGTGATTGCAGAGAGAAAGAAGAAGACCAAAAGCCATCTGACCGACTCCAAGAAGAATAGACGTTTTCATTTTCATGGGATTCAAGAAGTTCAATTTGTTCTTGGCTAAGTTCCAAATTGGATCAACACCGAATGGATATGGTCCCTGAAAAAGAAGGCAAAAATGAAAGATCGCCAAAATGAATAACAACTCACAGAATCGTGGTTGAATGATTCTATTGGGTTCCAGGTCAAGTCGGGATCTTTCTCATTATTCTTGAAAGCTGAAAGCTCCATACCATGAAGTAAGGAAACACTGAAATTATATAATTGATTGCTATCAATATATGTTCATTTCATACTTGTAAGGATTCTTCCATGGCGAACCAAAGATATTTATGGATTTGGAATAAATATCGTTGTATAACAATCCAGTGTAGATAGAGAACATACTCATAAGGAAAACGACATAACGACCACCAAAGAATGTATTGAAAATCTGAAAAGAAGATAAGATTTTGATAGATTCTGCTCTGTTTCCTCATACTTCATCGGTAATCTTAGCTTTGATCAATTTTTTCTCAAAGATCAAAAATGCGGAAGCAGCCAAAAACATAAGAGTTCCATGTCCGGAATCACCAAACATAACAGCGAACAAGAATGGGAAAGAAATAATGGCCCATGGAGCTGAAAAGATATTCTTTTAAAGACAATGCACATGCAAACTCTAAAACCTGGATTGACTTCTCTATAGGCAGCAATACCATAAGCATCGATAATGTTCTGGAAACCTTGAGTGAACTTGTTCAAGCGATAGTAAGTTGGAGGATTTCTATGTGTTTGCATTTCATTGAGGACAGCATGTACATTAGATCCAGATAGCTCCTGTACAAAGAGAATGAAGTTTATAATTGAAGAGCGAGTGATAAACTAACTGTTCCACGACGAAGAGCATCACGAACTTTGCCAATATCGTCAGTTGGAACCCAGCATTCAGCAATCAAGCACTTTTGAGTTACATCAACGGAGAACATGTTCAAAGTATGGAAAATAGCTTTGAGCTTGATGAGCTATAAACATTCATAATAAAGAATATGATTGTGAGCTATAGATACTCACCATGATCGTCCATTTCTTTGTGCTGACTGCAGCAGCATGTATGATTCTGCGACGATGTTCCAAAGTCTCATGGATGACACTCTTCATATCATTTACCTATCATGATTACGATGTGAAACAATCTGTTCAATCAACTCTTACTTGAAGATTGATCTGAGCAAGAAGAGTTGTTCTCTCAACTTGATTGTCTGGGCAGTTGTAGATTGTAGCATGGAATCTGAAACAGTTTCACAGTAACTTCAATCGATTATCCAGTCAAACCCCTGGCAAATCTTTTTGCATTTGCTCAAAAGCTGTTCTCCAGAAAAGAAGAGGATGAATACTGATTTCTCTTCAATACCCTTGCTCTGAAAACAAAACAATTATAATTTCTGACATAAAGTGAAGTGATAACGTGAACAGCGAAGAGGTCTGTCTTCTCCTCAATATCGACAGTGCGTGTGAAAACCTTTCCACGGCACATTCTCCAGACAAATCTTTCGAAAGATCCAACACGATCACGACGGATAACACCGGTAATGAATCTGGAGCACAATAGATCATTTAGCGGAAGAATCGTTAAGCTTTCTACTTCAATTCATTTTCTTCGCGTCTCTCTTTGTCGAAGTCATTCTTAACTCCGATGGTGAAAGGTCCAGCTTCTCCGCGACTGGCTTCGCTGATGGACATGGCAGCATCTCTTCTGGAGTTCTGCAATAAAGAGTTTCCGTTTGTTTTCTTGTTTTGTTTTCCTCTTAAAATAAACTTTTATCAGTGCAATGCTGCTATGCTTTCGAAAGACAAGAGACCAATCAGTGGTCTCTTGTTTCTTATCTTTTCAAATGTGTCCGGGCCATCTTTCAAAAATCAAATATTGATTTTGAAATTATGATAATTATATAAATGAATGGTAAAACCTACTCCATCAAGGAATGTCTTGACTTTCTCAAGAACAGCCTTCAGTTCCATCAACTGAACGTGGTTTTTCTTTAAAACATTGGTGTTTGAGTTGATGGCGACAAGTTCATCTTCAAGCTGTTCAAATCTGGCCTTAAGTAAAACAAGACGATTAGATTTGTTAATAGGATAGCTTACCTCAAGCTCGACCATAACTCTTGGCTGAGGAGAAGGAATAATCTCATCAGTGTCAGGGATAGGAACTTCATCCTTCTTGACTTCTTCTTCGATGTAGCCTGACAAAATGAAAAATCATATGGCGACATCTTGTTAGATGCTTACGGAGCTTTCTTTCCATCTCATCGCATCGCTTGACTTCATTCACAAACTTTTTCTGGTAAGAATTCAGCTCAACATTAAGCTGAAAAGAATGATCAACATCAGCAAAAATGTTTTTAAGAAGATTATAATACATCTCTGAATTGAGCAACTCCCATCTCTCCGAGTTCAGCAATACATTGGTAGGCTGAATCAGTTTGTAAGAATATCTGACAGAGCGACATGTGCTCCGACCGGTAGATGGAGCCCATGTTGAGGTTTTTTTTCGTTCAACTAACAAAGAAAACCTGCAAACAAGATGATGTAAATGAAATAAAGAAATCTAATACAGAAAGAGAGAGAGAGAGAGAGAGATGTGAGTACCAATCGAAAATGAAAGAGCAGATAACCAAATGATTTAACGTCTTGTAGCTTCCAAAGCTTGTAATTTGATAAAAAGACCTTATCGCTTTTCAATTGAGAGTTCCATATTGCCTATGAAACACATAGAGCTATGGAATGTCATTATCAATACAAACTTTTCTGTGAATTATTTAATGAATAAAAATTAGCTGACCTTCGTTTCTTATGAATATGAAAGTAATCGTTTCGCTTTGCCAACACTGCTGTACTTCATTTTTAAAGTTTTTTCCTTTTTGGGCTTATATAGTATTTGCTTAAAGATAACTGTCTCGCACAAAACAATTATATTGAATAGAAAAAACCAACCTATCCACGTCATTTGTAGTTTCCAATGTGTTAACACACACACACACACACATACACATACAGACGCCGCTTCATTGATTTAGCATAACGTGTGTACGTGTATACGTTGACGTCAGCTTGTTAGCATGAACCCCCATTTGATTTCTATTCATATTCACCATTGATTTGATTCATTGATTCATTTGATATCCTTAATCATCAAATTAGAATTTTGATCATTTACCACTTGAGATCAACCGGTCATCACTAATTGAGTCCAATGAATGAACGAATGTAAGCTCACGCTACGTCAAAATTTTACGTGAAAGTTACGTGAACATGAAAGACAATAGAAATTTATTTCATTTTGAAGAAATTTCAAAATATACATATAACGTAGCACATAATTCAAACAATATGAAAATTTTTTGATCTTAGAAGATACATCATAACTCTCCAGTACCCGTTCTTAGGTGTACAAAGAGAGATGGAGAGATAGATAGAGAGATAGAGAAAGGTGTGAGAGGGTCTATGAAATGAAATATAATAATAAAAATAATAAAGATTAGATGAAACATAAACGAAAATTATATGAGAGAGAGAGAGAGTTAGTCAAACGAATAGGAAGTAAGACGTTGTGTGCAAAATATGAAAAATGGAAAATGATGATGACTAATTAGAAATAAGAAAAACCCGTTCGATGAAGGAGCACGATCAGTAATAAGGACAAATAATATAAGGCTATACAAATAATTTTGAGGAAAACCTAAGGAAAGGATTGAAAGCTCATTTAAAAGCCGGATTCTTCAATCCCTTCGTCATCTTCGAATGCTGGATTCTGATGAATTTCGACTGAAGAAGGCGACGTCATAACACTGGGTTGGTTGGAAGTTTGCAAGGCATGAAGTATACAATGATGGATAAAGATGTACTGTTGCTGAAATATGTTAATGATAGATTGATGCAGGTGCATATATGGTATGTCTTACCTCATTCTGGACCATATGACAACGTTCTAAACGCATTTCATATACAATTCCATATACATCTATTGGCCTATCCAATTGTATCGTTTGCAGAAGACGATCTATGGTGATGAAAGTACCCGAACGACCAACGCCGGCGCTGCAAGCAAAAGAGCATAATTAATCTTTTTGTGACGGATTTGCAATTACCTGCAATGGACAATAGTAGGCTTGTTATGAGCTGAATGAGGTAGTTTTGATCGGAATAATCTAACGAAGCGGATGATTCCTTCGGGATGTTCTGGAACTCCGAAGTCTGGCCAAGCCATGTAATGCAAATGTCTGGAAAGAAAGATGTTGTTTAATACTTTACTATTCTGCATGATTACCTGATAATGCGAGGGGGCGATGATGGATCGTTCAACTTCGTCAAACGAAGATCACGAACAGTAAATTCTTCATAATGAGTTTCGCACATAAGTGTTACCTGGAAGAGAGAGAGAATTTAGAAAAAAACAAGAATTTCATTTAGAAACCTCAATGTCGGCATAAATTACGCTCATATGTTCAGCATCTGGCCAGTACTGATGACATTTATCACGTCCCTTCTCGACGCATTTCGTCAAAGCGATTATTGAGGGGCACTGTTGTTCCCATGCCATCTGAAGAATTTTCAGTATCAATAGGTACAGTGTCAAAAATCAGAATAACAACGTCATTCATGTTGATGCTGATCAATGAAATTGAAATACAAACCTGCCAGAAAGCGTCACGAGTGCTCGGCAGAGGTCCCTGAGCGGCAATGAACTCTCGTCGAGAAGAAAAGCCCTAAACGACGAATTTCTAATAAAAAACAAACGCAAAACTAAGATATACCGGCATGTAATTAGCATTTATATAATCCGAGCCATCTTCATCATCGACGTTTATGAGCTTTACACGAGAATGGTCGAAGGGAAGGATGTTTGTGAAGCGGTTCTTGGCTCTATTGACAGGCAAATCAGAAGCATGATATGATTGGCCAACGCCAACGTTTTTCAAACTCTGAAAAGAGATGAATGAATGAGGATATGCGTATAGTACAGTAGAAACATGAAGGACACTCTCTTACCTCATACTCTTCGGAAAATCTGAACTCTGAGTCAGCACTCATGTTACGGACATGAGCTTCAAAGTCACACTTTCGGACTGGCCTGCTGGAAATGACAGACGTACAAACGACAACAAGTTTTTACGAACCTCTTATATAAATTAGCTGATGTCATAACGGTGTAGAGAGGAGCTTTGTGAATTGGACCACTTGGAAGTCTCTCCAAGCGATGATCAACTCCGGTACGTTCCCGTAAACTTCGGCATCGACGGTGATGTCCGAAGGTAGGTTGAAGATGACCATTATTTGGTACGGTTTGATCACCATGAGGTGGAACATTTTGTGAGCCGTCTAAACCTAGCTTAGCCAAGCAGTCGGCTGCTCTTTCCGCCATGATCATTTTGAGAGCTGCCCACTGTGATTCTTTAGCCGAATTAGCAGATGAACTGGAGGAATACGTAGCACTCCTGAAAAAATGTCTATAAATATGAGGCAGATAGGAAGAGACATCAAGTCATGTATAAGTTGGATTCGAGGGCACAAGGAAAGATGTAAAAGTTGAGCTATAGATGCTGCAGTAAAAGGAAATGAAAACGACGAAAGCAAAGTAGTGAGCAGGAAATCGGATGATGATTCCGCCAAGACTGGCATTTCTCGTCTTCATCTATCTTCACGTGCACATGCATCATGTGGGTGGGAGTTGAAGGAAAGAAGATTGAGAGAGTATTATTGAATTGGTCGGCTCTCTTAAACAAGTAAGTCGCAAAGAGAAAGTTAAAATTGAAACGGAAATTTAAGTGATCAAGCTGAATATATATCTATATAAAGAATTTGTGAGAGATAGAGAGATGATGAGAGAGAGCTGACGATGAAGAAGGACAGAAATGAAGAAGAGAGGTAAGTAGTAGTGGCCAAGTCATTTTCTCAGATGCTTCCAAGTCTCAGTAAAACGAAAGGACACAACTCTAGTGCAGATATAAAGTAGGAAAACAAGGCAAGAAGCCATTTTAATCATTCACTAAGGTATTTTGGGCTTTGAGCATTACACGCTTCTCTTCATCGTCTGCTTTTGATTAGAGAGATAGAGAGAGAGAGAGAGGGAGTAAAGGAAAGTCCAAGGTTGAAGTTCGTTTGGCTTATTCGTCTTTGGAATTTGTGATAGCTTTCAACTCAACAAGTCTACATGAACAATCATAGAGGAAAGTTGAACCAGCAGAAGCTGTATGTTGCGTGCTTAGATAACATTCTAGTACATCGATCTTGTTGACTTTTCACAAAGCATTCTATCATTACAATTTCATCACAAAAAGAAAAGTTAAATCAAAGATAATGTAAATTTCAAAATGAAAATGTGCTCTCGATGTATTCATCCAAAACACATCAAATAGATCATTTGCGATGAATTAAAAATCTCGTGGCTTAAGCAACACAAGAAAGACGTCATGCATATGAACACACAAGGGAGAAACATGCGGGAGCGTAAAGCATCATGAAAAGATAAATTTGGATAACGAATTAAAGAACAACATATAAAGGGTGGAAATTAAAGAAACAAATGTGAAATAGAAAAGATAGGCAGAGAGAGAGAGAGAGAGAAAGAAGGATAAAGAGATTGAGGGAGAGAGAGAAAGAGAAGGATATGGTCTATGAGAGTCGAAACTGAAAGAGAAAAAGAAGTCAACAAGAGACTATGCAAGCATATATGAAAACCGAGTCGCAGATGAAGTAATATGGCTGCTTAAATCATCGTAATCAATGCTTTAGATGAGATCAGAAAGAGATAAAACCCAAAAAATCGACGATGTTTTCCATAAAACACTATAAGATAAATGTTGTTTGATCTGCCATTTCGTGCTTTTCATATTTAGCAAGTAGTAAGCTCGTTTTTACAAAACATTTCACTTTTTTCAATTAAATGAAAACAAAAAAGAGTAGTAGTAGTAGTAGTTGTAGAAGGAGAAGGAGAAGACGACGACGACGATTATGGAGAATGAGAAGAAGAAGAAGAAGGAGAACGAGTAGTAGCAGCAGTAGTAGTAGGGGTAGTAGTAGAAAGGGTGAAATGACTTCAGAGAGCGGAGGTGTTTATAAGAAATGCCAACAGCTCATCTTTGTTTTTATAGAAATCTTTAAAAGCTTAAAATAACGAAGCAAGCCGGACAGACTGACAGACAGATGATGAGCCAGTTAAGTAGATGAAAAAAGAACTTTTTTTGTAATTGAGAAGACGAAAAGTAATAAAAATGAAGTGCAAATTGTACTTTTCAGCACCCAAAATAAATTACAAAATATTAAAAGAGAAATAGAGATGCCAGAAAAATGTTGAAAAGATGTGAAAATGAAATGAGAAGTCATCGTCTCTCGTATTCCTCTTATATACTTCTGGCAGCCACCATGAGCGACAGACGGCATGTCAGCCAAACTTTGCCAACAGTTTGTTTTTGAGAAATGTTATGTATGAGCATGAATAATAATAATTAGAGAGAGATTCTCTTATCACTGTTTGTTTCTCAGAGAGACAGAATGAAATAGAGGGAAAAAGAAGGACATGAACACAAACAGAAAGAGAAGAGTGAGGGAGGGAGGGAGGGAGTCATTGCAGATAAATTGGATGAAAGAAAAACACAGTCAAATCTTTGTGAAATTGAAGAAATGATGAAGAGTGGGAGTGAGATAATTGAATGTAAAATACTTCAATAGGTAATGAAAACATAGCGAATTGCTTCAATAATGATGATGAACATCGAAGAAGCTGACCATGTTTGGCAATAGAATCGCTCAACTGAATCCTCTCATGTTTACATATTCGATGAGTAGATTTGTAAGCTTATATGTCCATTTATGGTTTTTCGGATATGTCCGAAACCAACAATGGTCAATATATATCCTCAGCCAGAGAGTATATGAAATCTATGAACGTCTAATATGTGTATAGGCAAAGAGGAGCATCACGAGCATAGACAGCAATAGCTCGTCGTACAATATCACAAAGCCGACACAAATGAGAACAACATATATGGGTTGAGCCATGATCTGTAGAGAGAAAGAGAGAGAGAAAGACAAAAACTTAAATTAACATTAGAAAGTCTTCTTATCAAGCGGATTAACAATGGGGATAAGCTTGGCAGTATAGAGGATCACTTATTGAGTTTTCTTCTCCACAATTTGAAAGAAATACCAACCTGATGAGATATCAGGTGACATTTTTTTCTTTTTTGGAAATTTATCTTAGAAAGATGTTGAACATTTGTAGTATAATGCGGAGAAAATAGCCATATATAGCCATATATAGGTGAGATCAAACTATAAATAGGAAACGAGCTTGCAATTTTCTAATAAATTGTTATCATATTTTCACTTGCGACATAAATGACGAACGTTATCGAGTTAATACAAAGTCAGAATGCCCCTGAGCGTTTTCCTGTGTAGTCGTCATCACCTTCGTCTTCAAGAATACTCGACAGGAAGTGGAGGCGGTTTTCATTTTGCTCTTTTGTGATGAGTGTGAGTCTATTGATTGTTGTCAAGGGACTAACTCAGTTGAAAAAAGCGGAGAACAAGAAAGGAGAAGAAAAGATGAAAACTAAAGAAACGTGACGTGAATAGTAGAGAGAGAGAAAAAGAGATAGGAGAGAGCAAGGTAAAAGTAATAAGCAACCGTTCTGTTCGTCTATATTGAAATGTCTTGAGATCTTTGCTCATCCGTAGATCTTACCCGATGACCCAAATAGCATGATAGATCAAAAAGCGAATGATGTAATAGAATATTTATATTTTCAAACACATTTTTGGCTGACTTTTTTTGAGCGCGTTTGTCTGATTTTCACACGTCCACCAAATTAATCATACAAACAGGTGTTGTTCAGCCAGAATCATGACAGTATTTGATGGTAAGTGCAGGACACCTTATGAGAAAGTTGGTTTACTATCCTCGAAGAGCAAATGCGGAGGAGAGGGAGGGGGGGGGAGTAAGAAAAGAGAAAATCGTCAAGAATGTTTCTAAAGATGGGCCCCATGAAATGAACGAGCAAATGCAACAATGAAGAGGAAGACAAGATCAAATCAAGATATATGATGAAAAGAAGAGCTTAAAAATCAAATGGTAAAATGAAAACCAAGACGGAAGGAAAACCATTTCGTCTTTAGATGATGATGTGGCTCGAAAGAGAGTGATGTAGAAAATACAATATGGGAGAAGGACTGGCTAGTGGCCAATAAAGAGAAAGACAAATGTTAAGCTCATTTACTATTAACATATGACAGACTCATTCGTAAAATGTCTCTATATAGATATTTAAAAATAATATGAAGCTTAAAAAAGAAAAATCGCGTTTGCGTATCAGGCCGTATGGTGCAGAAAAAAAGTTTTTTTTAATCAAATAGTTGTTTATGGCCATATTCTCTGAACTATCAAGTGTTATGAGAAGATATGGAAAGTAAATGAGGAAAAATAGAAAAAAAATGAAAAAAAAGGAGAAGAGAGAGAGATAGAGATAGAGAGAATGTGAGAGGGTGGAGAGAGGAAGAAGAGAGAGAGCAAAGGTAATGAATGAAGCGAGCGTGATGAAAATTACGAAAACAATTGGTGGTGGAAAAAAAAAACAAGAAAAAAGCGTTGAAATAGAAAAAAAAAAGAATTATTGTTTAGAATATGATGGAGTGGAGGCTCGCTAGAGACAACCTGTATTGGAGCTGAAACAACATGCAAATGGAAAGATAAGAGAAGACTATGGTGTTGTTGCATAGGAACTGCAAAACTTATAAGCTCTTAGATATGAGAAGATAATGAAATTCAAAGTGTGATGATGGCTCCTGAGAAGACGAGACATTCTCAATGACACAATGCTGCTGCTTGTGAAGTACATGATAGGAGCAGACGACGAGGATGAAGAGATTTCAGAATGGAACAATCGGTTTCATTTAAATCAAAATAAAGTTATAAAAGAAAAGAACAACAGAAACCAAACAATTTCTGACAAGAATGGAGGGGGAGTAAAAGGGAAGATGAAGAAGAAGAAGAAGAAGATGAAGAAGCAAAATGTGAATATAAAAAGAAACGAAACTCTCATGGATTTCCTTTATTATTTCTCTCTTCGTCCCATTCTGTCCCTCTTTCTCTCTCTTTCTCTGCTTGTCTCCTCTTTTTTCTAAATGTTGTTGCTCTTCAGACATTTTGTATGAGTGTCATGAATGCTTGCCGAATATGCAAGCAAAGGCTCCAAAGATATAGATTAGAGCAAAGAGAAAATAAGGCGAGGAAAAAGAGGAAAGCAGATTCTGGACAAGAGAAACTTGTATGGGGGTGGATGGACAACAGAGAAGAAAAACTAGAAAGAAATGAAAAAAAATAAAATACAAAGCTGAGAGAAGAGACAAGAGAAATGAAAGTGGGAACAGAGGACTTATATATGGGAATTTTCCTAAGATAATATAGAAGACTGGAAACATTTGGGAGCATGAGAGTAAAGAGAAAGATAATACGTATACACAACGTGAGAGAAAGTGAAAGAGGGATAGAGAGAGAAACAGAGAGAGAGAGAAGAAGATGAAGAAGAACAAAAGGTTAGAAAGAGAGCGAGTAAGAGAAAAAGTGTAAAGAGGGATGAATAACTAGTAAAACTTGCAAGTAATCGGTCATGTAATCGGCTGGAAAAAGCTCACAATTATAGCTTCTCATATAAGGAGAGAAAGACTCATAATTGTTTGAAATGATAGAAAAAAAACCAAATTAATATTTCTCTCAATTGTTTCCAACAAAAAAAATCAAAAATTACAAAAGTTTCATTGGAATTGTAAAAGAGTCAAATGTTCAGAAAGCACATAGAGAGAGAGAGAGGGAGGGAAGGAGGGAGGGAGTGAGATGGAATGAGATGGAATAGAAAAGGAAGAAGAGATTAGCACGGCAGAATTTCAGAAAATTCACCTTTCTCTTTCTCTTTGTCTCTCTTCGTTGGCTGACTAAATGTGTAGTTTGTACTATTAGGAAGCCAAAGTATATCAACATAGCTTGCAATGGTATTTCATTACATAATGATCAACACAGAGAGAGGAATGATGATGATGATGATGATGATGATGATGAAGAAGAAGAAACAGAAGCAGAAAAAAAAAGTTCAAAATACATAGAAGGACTAAAATAGATTTTCGAAAAATATAAATATAGAATTACATTCATCTATTTCAATATTCTTTTCCTGCTTCTCCTCTCCTCATGCTTCATCCTCATCATCATCATCTTCGAAATTGAACATGAATGAAAGAGAAGACGAAGGTAAATTGGAGAGGAAACAGAAGGAATATAAAAAGAGAAAGGAAAAAAAAAGATTTTGTGTGTAATATTGTCCATATTGGGTGAAGTGAAAGCAGCTAAAGATAGAACAGAAAAAAAAGGAGACAAAGAAGTCGGAGGATGGCAAGGGCGATTGTTATTCCAAACAATACACAAACGTCAATCAAATGGAAATACATCATCACAAGTACCTCACAACTTCAGAGATGGGAAACTGCGATCTTAAGCTTATCCAACTTGTTTCACTGCAGATGGATGGAGAGAATGAAACAAGAGAAGGAAAATGAATATGTTTGAAGCAGTTACAAGTTGTATGCAAAAGTTACAACTCAAATAGGTAATAGACGCTTGTTTTTCAAACAAAAATATAAAAAGAGCCCCCCTTTGGAAGGCAAACAAGATTTTCACAGATATGAGAGAACAACGTCAGTGTGCTTATTTGCATCCAAACAAATCATGAAGTGAGTTTGAGCTGAATACCGACACATACATGAATGCTTCGTACTCATACGAGCAAGCAGTACTAAAACTAAAAATTCCGTCATTCAATAACCACACAAGCTTATTTGGTTATTTGGTGGTTAAAGCAGAATTTTGTTTCTACTACATCGTCCTTTGCTTTTGAATATATAAACTACTGCTAGTAGTATAGTTCTCATAAACAGAGCAAAAAAACCGTTTACGATAACCATTTTCTTCAAATGGAAGGACAAACTATCCTCAAACCAATATATGAGCGTGTGAAAGGCATTTATCACAAGTATTCTCAGAACATGACCATCTTCACAATGAATACTTGAATGCACTGATGCTTCAAACCATCAGAGTTAGAACAAAACATTTTGTCTTTTTCAAACGCGGAAGCGGAGAGCGCTGCTTTTGCTTGCGTACCTATCACTAAAGACGTTGAAGCTCAACTAGAAATGAAAATGAAGCAGAAGAACTTGTATTACTAGTAGTAGGAAAAAGAGGAAGAAGAGGAAGAAGAAGAAAATGAAAGAGTAGGAGGGGAGGGAGGAAGAAAATATATTTTTTTCGCAAACCTTTCTCATAACTAAAGATAGAGATTGTTTGTGTGGACATATGAAGAAGTAAATAAACAAAATGTGAAGAATCAATGATGGCTCTCATTAGTTCAGTTGAAACACACTGAACTGAAAGCACAACACACACATCCACATATATACCACATATATATATACACACACATATATATGCACATACAGAAGACGAAGATAGATGTGCGTGTATGTGCGTGTATGGGTGTGTGTGTGTATGCGCGTGTGACGCAAAAATGGTACAAAAGCTTAGAATATAGGATGAAGAGCTTTAAAGTGTCTAAATCATACTTTTCGAACAATATTTTTGTTAGTTCTCATCAAAATACCTTTAATCTCATATTTTATCTCATCAAAATAATGTTTTTAATATGAGATATGACATATTCCATTATCTTTTTCATAACAGAAATCGTCTTGAGTGCTTTTACAAACTAGCGTTCCAAGCTATCAATGAGCACTGACCTCAGGGTGAATTTGACGTCAATCAGAGTGGGAAACTGCGTCTCAGAGCAAGAAAGGAGAAAGAGGAAAAGACGAAACATGAAAGAATGAAAGACGACGAAGAAGAAGAGAAGAAAACGAAAATGAGTATAAGGGGGTGTTTGAAAGGAAGTACTAAACGGATTTATCAAATATGGAAACCCGCCGCTTAAGACGATTATGAATAAAACACAACAAAAAAAAAGAGAGAAAGAAGAAGTAGTAGATAGAGTAAATGTTAAACTTCAACTAACCTTTGCTTTTTGGAACGTGTCCAGTAGGAGATTAATATGATTCCAAGCAAACCAAGAAGTATGAAGAGAGAGAGAAGTACGACGATGGCACGTAAAGATATACCACGAGGAGATGCTGCTGAAAAGAACAAAAAGTAAATTAAGCGACGCAAACAATTTTTTTTTCTTTTTTTCGACAGAAAATTCCTTTCAAATTAATATTTCAATATGAATATATAGCTACAGAAGAAAAACGATGCTATATACAAGTAGTTGATCAATTCATTACTATCTCACCGTCATAATCTGCTTTAGTCTCGAAAAAAATAATTTTTGAGAAAAGAGATTTAAGATACAAATACAAAGAAAAGAAGATAAAAAAAAATGATTCTCGCTTCATAAATTAATTATAAAACAATAATTGAATACGATAAGCTGGCTGCTTAGAGAGAGAATTAAGAAAATGGCGAAGAACAGATGACAGGTTCTGCAAACTTTGCTCGCAACTTCAAATAATTTTGTGAAAAGAAAAGAAAATTAAGAAGATGAAGACGAAGACGACGACATCGACGACGGCATCGACAACCATTCTCACAACGAGAAGAAGAAGAAGAAGAAGAGAAGAAGGAAGAAGAGGAGGAGGAAGACGTAAACGAGGAAGCCATCGACGACGTCTACGACAACGACGACGACGATCACGACCACGACGACTATGAAGACGAATGAGACGACAATATTAAAGAATAAATCTATCCATTTTGCTTAAATAAATAAAATGAGGGGAAAACTGTCAGGCCTAAGGCAAAGAATGAGGAAAAAAAAAGAAAAAGTAAAGACGAATGCAACCGTTCTATGCTTCAACAAAAGAAAAAAAAGCGATTGTTGTTGCAAACAAAAGAAAAAATGAAGCGTGGGTGATAAACCAACGACTTTTAACTTCTGTTCAAATTGAATAGTGAGAATAGATGGGTTGAGACGAAGAAAATAAAATATTTTTCAAAACTATTTGCTATAAATCAGAATTCAGCACCACAATATGTAGATGAACAAGGAGGGGTAGAGAGGGTGGAAGAGATAGAGGGAGGCAAGACATGTAGTAGAGGGAGATGTCTCAAAAGCAGCAGTTACACTTACTTTGCAAGCTCAATGCAATGAAAAGTGAATCGAAAACGATAGATGACCGTTTTTATAAAAGAACTTCCGTTCAGAAACAAATTTCTTGGCTATCAAAGTAAACAAGAGATAGTTCTGGACATTCTATACAGCTATATCTTATCAACATGCCACCTACAAGAATCAACTTCATAAGTATAATCTTTCTGTCTCTCTTTTTCCTTTTCATCGCCTCTTTCTCATTCTCTTTCTCTCTTACTTCCGAGTTGAGAATTAAAAAGGTGAGAGCCTCTTTGTATAAAGACTATTGCCAAATCCTTATCGCTCCGCCTACGTGTACGTCGTCGTATTCCAAACAAATCGTGTAGACGTTTTTAGTTTCATCAAAACTGATAACTGATATTTGCATATACTAAACACTCTCCCACTCCATACATACATAGACGTACATATAATATAGTATATATATAGTATACATATAGTATATATAGTATAGTAAAGTATATTAAATTAAGAACAAACATTTCATAACTGAAAGTTTCTGCAAAAAAACTGTTGCAAAACATGAGTCTTTGGAAGATTAATGCTTTTCATTATTGAATTTAACAAGTTTTTTAATGTTTCCGCCCTCTCTCTCTCTCTTTATACCTCCCACCTCTCCAACCACCCGCTTCCCCACGTATACGCTTAGAATCATTTCAAGCTTTTAACTAATAACTGAGTAGAAACTAGCAGTTAGCAGCTGAATAATTAGTATAGTCAGAGTCAGAAGCATTTACGTTTTGTGAGCAAGAGCAGCAAAAAAGAACTATAATTATAGAGAAAGAGGGGAATAGAGAGATAAAGAGAGAGAGAGATAGAGAGAGAGAGAGAGTTAATTACATTTTCTGCAGTAATTAGGAGCTCTCTATTTTCCTTGTCTCATCATAATATCAAAAGATTCAACGAGTAGGAGTAGATGTTATCAATCACAAATAAAAAACCCACGTGGGAGTGAAAATACAACAGTTCGGAGCGTGTAAAAGCATAAATTGATAAACATCATGTCATCGAGCTGACATATGTTGTCACTTCAAAACGTTTAAAAGCATAATCAACTAAGCTATAGCATCGTTTGAAGTTTTTCGAGCCGACAACATACTCTTCGAATCTCAGTATATATGTATTTATGAAGTAGGATAACTTGCCGAAACGAAAAAAAAAGAAGCAAACTCAACAAGTGCAAATTAAAGTTACGGTATGAGCAGAAGCTCATTATACAGAGGCTATAATCATACTCTAATATACTCTTATGCTAAAGTATCCCAATATTATATTTTATAATAAGAGAGAGGGAGAGGTAGATTGATATATATATAGAGAGAGAGAGAGTCAGAGAGAGAGAGAGAGAGAGAGAGAGAGAGAGAGAGAGAGAGAGAGAGAGAGAGAGAGGTGAGAGCAAAGAAGATAACAATCTTTCACTATCTCTCTGATATTACTTCATTGATGTAAAGAAGTGAAAAGCTGCCACCCGCAATTCTATGTGTGTGGGGAGGAGAGGGAGGAGAGGGAGAGCAGAGGGAGGGGAAGCTAGTTGATTAGAACAAAAATGGAAACAAATTCTCAAAATGCTGTTAACAGTGAGTTCGTTATGGCAACTTTCTTATATGAATGACGCAAAATGGGAAAATATGTGAAAAACGAACTTCTTTTAGAAACGTTCTTTGATTGTAATCACATATATTGAAAAGATTATTGTTATTGTTCAGATTATTTCCTTAAAACAAGACTAGATAAGAGAGAGAGAGGGAGAATATGAGAGGTAGATCGTGGAAAATAAAAAATGAGCTTTCCACTTTTCTGTCTGTTGAAAAGCTAGCACGTGTGACGACACAAGCTGATGACGTTCACTTTGTGAGAAAATCGAGTAATGGAGAGACTGAGAAGTTGTAACATAAGAGAGATTGTAAAACGACAAAGAGCCAAAAGCCTTATTTCTGACAGCAAAGTTGCTAATGAAATATGCGGTCAGCTGAATAAATGAAAGGCATTTCGCCAATTACAGTTTGCATTCCATCATCACAAAATAATCGAACAAAGAAAATTCCTTCCGTTTTAAAACAAATCCAACAGTGAACATACTGTCTCTCCCTCCCCCTCTTTCTCTCTCTTTCTCTTTCTCTCTCTATCGTCCTCCATGAATTTTTCTAATGAGAGTAAAACACTATAAGGCGATAATACACAATAGCATTCCACCAAAATTTCAAAATCATCAACAGATGGGCTGATCAATGAGAATTTCAAAAAAAAAAAGAAAAAACGTAGGGTGGAAAATCTAAACAAAACAGTTGAAAAAAAAAACTGAGACACTGATGAAAAACGATGGAAAGACAGAGACAACTGCATATGTCACCACCAACATCTCTATAGGTCAAAAGAACTCGTTTTTGGTCCTGGCTGTAGCACAGCATGAAAACAGGGCTGGGGAGACATTTTGGCCGGAGCAAAAAGGAGAAAATGAACAGTTGAAAACATCGAAAAATGGTCTTTCATTTTGTGTTGTGAAGTTTGCAACGAAAACTTCACAAGTTTATTATATCCATGAAAGGAACACGTCGCTCCAGACATTCATGAATAGTCATAAAAACAGTTTTTGCTCTCCAAAATGTGTTCACTTTTTTTCAACGTAAATGAAATATCAACTTGAATCGTTTGCGGCTGGCAGGTAGTTGTATGTCATTCATCGTTTCCTTCCGGTCACAATTCTTTTGCTGATAGCCGCATTTCATTCAATCGTTTCCGGTGCCAAATGGGCTAGAGAGGTCAGCTGAGCCAAGGGATAAAAGATAGCCTCAGGTGACTAAGGGAATCAAAATGAAATGATAGAGAGTGAGAGTAGAATAAGAAGAAAGAAGAATGATGAACAAACTTCTATAAGACAAATGATGGAAGAAGATAATAGCGGTTAGGTAACGCCACCAAAGAAATAACGGGTTTAAAACGATTAAGTGTCTCCGAAAAACATACAGAAATGTTCGGTAAACTCTGATAATTTTTTAATCTTGTTTACCATACATTAGTGTGGGAACAGTGAGCTAATCAGGAATTTGAACGTCTCTCATAAGAATCGCAATAATTTGACCTCCACTTGAGAAAAACGTGAACGTTATCTTTTCAAGGTGCTGATACGTAGACAAAAGAAATTACAAGACTAAAACGTTCAACGTAAGAATACATGTAGAAGTATGATGAGAAAGAAAACTTTGAGTGAAAAAGATGATGTGAGGAACACCGGAAGGAGGCGGAGTTACACAATCTGGTTGAATGACTGGAGACTAACCGCTGTCAGACGTAGCACAAGCAATTTCTTATGCCATCAAGATTGGTGAAACTCATAGCACATGAAATAAATAAAAGAAATTCGAAGACGAGAAAGCTTATGTAATAGTCCAGGTTTAAGCATCACGGCCAACAGCTCATCAAGTCCAATGACATAAAAAAAGAAAAAGCGACTAACCAGTTGTCACGACGTCAGAATATGGCGTATCCGTGAATAAATTGGGTGCTGAATACAAACGCAGCTTGAATTTGTATGGTGTTCCCGCTTTCAATGGGCCGTTACATACGGTATCATCAGGTAAATCTTCACAAGCTGCATCTATACCAATAGCCTATAAGAAAGATGAATAATTCATGTGAATAAATATGAAAAATTACCTCGGTCAGTGCTTTATTGATTTGAGCAGTCGTTCTAACTGAATTAGGAATATCGGTGATGGATGCAACATAAGCAGGCCAAACATCAAATCGTTGCACTTGTAGCCACGTCTGAAAGTAATTTATAATATTTACCAATTAGTTCTTTCTCATGTTCAATCTCATAATATCTTGCTTCACGTTTTACGATTGTTTTTTCTCCCTTTCGTCACTATTTATTTCATCTTAAAAAACCCCCAAGAACCAGTTCAATGTGCCAGCAGAACGAAGCATCTTTCACACCAGGTTGGAAGCATGATTTCACGGGAGGGGGGAAGTATATAACATGAAATTTGATACTTATATGTGGGTGAGAAGCAAAAGACATGCACAGTGAACAAAAGAAAAACCACCAACTTCGAGAAAAGTAAGTCAAAAGCGAAAATCCAAGATCAATCAAGTTTTCGCTCAAGTTATGTCCACCCCCCTATATCCCACCAAAAATTTGACCAACTCAAAGGAAGACCGGAAGTATTTCAGTGGTCAACTGTCTATGTCTTCAAGCTCGCAGAGATATTGATGTCAATCATTCATCTCAATATATCAATCTACTCAGCTTAGCAATAATACAAGCATTCAATATGGCTGATAAAAAAAACTATAGGAAGTTTGGGCTCCTGTTTTTTTTCAGCCACAAGTGACGCCTCCAACACTAACGCTGGTCTTAGTCAGAGATCACCAGACTCTCATATCGTTTTTTTTTTTGACACGAAAAAAAAGCTCAGAAAACTAACATATGTTTGATTTTCCTCTTTGAGTATGGTATCAGTTGTTCGTCCATCCTCAGTAACTTCGCTAACGATCAAATCGCTTCTGAAAAAAGGAACAGGCTCTACTTTCCTCGAATTCATCAATTTACCTAATAATACGTCCGTGTTTACCGTCAAGCATGTTGGAGTTATACTTGACTGACAAGGCATGAGATCCTATCGATTCAAACACAATTGCTGGCCCTACCCCAGGTTTCGGAGGAGCTGAAGGATTAGAGCGTAATATCAACTGAGCTGTTAGATGTTTTTACCTTGTATCGGCATTTTCAGAGTTATATGGCCAGACAAAGGCTCTTCTCCTGATCCAGCTTCTGTAGCAGCTCGAACGGAGAAGTTATATCTAGAAAATAAAACAGTTGAAAATATATGAAGAAGAATGTTGTACCTTTCGCCTCCTTGAAGACCATCTACCACAGTCTCAATATGATGATCCGATCTGTCTGAACTCAGGCCAATAGTAACCGACCATTTTTTCTCCGTCGATTGCTGAAAAGGATGATCAATTTTGTTATATAAATCAAACTTTACCAAAGGAACTATTTCAGCTATATAGTGTGTTAGAATACCATTAGGCAATGCTGGTGGTAACCATGACAATTGTACTGAGTACGGATTGAGGGCTCTTCCTGTAAATATTTGAAATTTCTACACAAAAGTGGAAAAACAACAAACCCGCTAGCGATTGAACAGGGCCCGGCTTATCTGGCTTTGTTGAAAACATAATTTGCCTCATGCTTCGTGTTCCCGCTGCGCATTCAGAAGTTCTAGCAGCTTCCCCGCAGATAATTTGATTGTTTATAGTATACTTATGGAAAGGTCGTAGCCCGTTCAATTCAATCACAGGTAAAAACGCTTGAATGGGCAACTGTTTTTGGAAAACTATTTGAGAAAACATGTCATAAACGACAATGGCCAAGTTACAGTCAGGATAAATATCAGACTGAAGAAATAAATGCATTAAGAAAAAAGCAAGAAAAATAATTCATACCTTTGAGGACAGTGTCAAGTTCAGAACAGCCGATGTACGTGTAACATCATGAAGAGTAGCATTGACTGCGGGTGAGCTTATACGCATTGTTTCATTATATCTAGTTTCTGATACTATTCCAGACTTGGTGACAGTATACATTTGTATCTTAAACATTCCAATGATCATTTTGAATTTTCTTCCTCCCTTACCCGGTAACAAGATCCCTTTGTCAAATTCGAAACGTTGATAACGGATGGTTTCAAGGGATTTGTCTCAAACTGTCTGTTACTTTCTCTAGTTGTGGAGTTTTGTTTTTTAATAGAAGTTACTCGCATTTGGAGAGATGAATCATGACCAACAACCTATAAAAGGGAACATTACTTTCGATATTATATATGATATCACCTTTCCCCAGATATCACGTAATCTAGTCATGAAAACGTCACTTTGAGGCCAAGCCATTTCTAAACCATTCTCAGACTCCTTAATATTCAGATAATAGGAATGTTATGAGTGCGCTACTAACTTGAATACTGAGACCAAATCCTTTCAAATCGAACGCAGGAGTGAGAACTAAACTTCTGTGGAGTTTATTACTGTACACTCCAAGAGAAGATGTTGCTAATGAAAACTCGTACCGTTGTCCTGGTGAAAGGAGTAGAAACAAGACACAACTAAAAAAAAAAAAACCCAATGAAATTTCAAACACTCTGAACTCACAAAGACTTATTGTGTTTTTCCTCAACCTCTGATTCCACTTCTAACCTATCAAGTGTTTCACTTGTTGCGGTTACGTGACATTTCTCATAGTGTGAATCAGATGGTAGTTCAGCTGTTAATCTGTAGCGGCCTTTCGTAATGTCGGGCCGGCACTAAAACTTCTCATGAATTCTTGCAAAAAAAGAAAAAAAGTGATACCTTGAATTCAACTGGAGCTAATGGTCTCAAAATATGTTCAATAACTGTCTCTTCCGCATTCATCAAAGTTTTTCGAGGTCTGACGGAAAAACTGTACTTCACTCCAGGAATGATACCCTGGCAAATGGTCGTAAGACTGGCTGGTGCAGGAACTTGAGCCTATAAATAGAACAGTATAAATGTGGAACATCTTCGAAGTTATACCGTTATCGATGTATTCTCTGCCTGGACCTGGAAGTACTTGACGATGTAGGAATCAACACCTCCTTCTCCTGGAAGCCAAGAGAGCGTAACACAAGTTCCGTTTTCTTGAATCTTCAAACTGCTTACAGACGATGGTCCTAAAATCATTGTTGTTTAAATGAACTATACAACTTCCTTACTTGTTGTTAAAGTGGCGCTCCAGGGCTGACTCTTGATGCCATCCTTTACAGCTATCATGCGAACAGCGTAATCACGACCAGGACTCAAATGACCTGCAAACAAAACAATTAAAAAAGTATTAACTACATCGTGTTACCTAAATAAACTTCCAGCTGTTTTTGTTCTGGGATATCCAAAACTTCAAGCATTGAGTATTTCTTCTCAGAGTCCACCTGTCGATATTCAATGAGAAAGGCATCCTGCAATACTGATATGCTTGAATTTCTTTGAAGTTTCAATGAACCTGCAGCGAATGTGCATCTTTATCCGTTATAAGTGTTATGTTCGTCTTTCCAGCTGTAACCCCATCCGTGGGAAAATCAGGAGGTCGTGGAGTCATAACAATATGTTCTTCCTTAATCAAATCTTGGCGATCATCTTTAACACCTATTACAGATATGCTGAAACAAACAAAACGTTTTAATTATAATAAAACAGTAGTTAACCTATATTTATGGCCTGGATGTAAATTCTGTATAACCATATCATTTCCATTTGATGTTGTTGATGATAACGTTCGATTTTCATCTCGAATTTTATCTTCTCTATAATAAAAAAAATAAATAAAATATTCAATTACATATAATCAAACTTACATATCTAATGTGATATCAGCTACTTTAACGATGAATGAAGTATATGAAGAATGGCTTGAAGGGAGTGCAATATGTAATTGGGTTGACGGCTTCAAACTATCAGCAGCAATATTGAATTGTCCCTTAAAACAAACATTTCAAAAAATAAAACAAGAAGAGCGAAAAGTGAACGACCGCATTGTAGGTGCGTTTAACGAGAAATCAAGACTATTAGGTCATTAGCATAGCCACGTAACACGTTCACGGGAAGTTGTGATATGCTAATGAGCTCGAACAGCTACCTATTTCGCTTAACGACACTCACAAATCATTATCGATCGATTTTCAAAACAAATTAATAAAGAATAAAAATGATGATGAAACATACATTTAATGAACTGCTACCGGTAAGAGCTGCTAGTAGATCTGAAAAAAACAAAAAGTTCAAATCGTTCAGGGTACGACACATTCGAAAAGCTCATTTGTCGTTGGGTTTTTTGTGAGGTTAACCATCAGGTTTGTTATTTTTCCTTCCAAATTGTCTATCTTTAGGCTCATTGTGTTTGTTCGTATGCAAAGGATGGAAACGACAGATTCAAACATCTTTTCTCGTTAGAGCATTGTCTTCCAAACAAAGTAATAAATTATTTTTGTTCAACAAGGATATGAACAGATTCCATCAAGTGAATGTCAAAACGGATTTTAATCGTACGTAGCAGTAAGCGAGAAAGCTCTGACAATGGTGGAGCTTTGCTTTGAAATCGATACCAAGTTTTCAGATCAAAAAAGCCGAAAGTAGCCTTTCGATAGTTTTTTTGTTCAATTTGATGTTTAAACATCCTTTTTTCTCGAAATAGAGTATCCTCAGCTTTGTGATGGAGAAAGAAATTTCCGATTTCCGGCTCAAACGATGAAGGAAAATATGAAATACCTGCGGTATAGACAGGCCGCCAGCTGTCGATGAGTAGAAAAACGAATAAAGTCCTTGTTATCATCTGGTCATATTTTGAAAATAAGTGAGTGGTGACTTGGTTAAACACAAAGAAGGGCAAACGGGAATATATTCGGAAGGAGCAGCAGCAGCAATAGAATGTCTGAAAGAATATTCCTTATATGAACAATAACAAGAAGAAGCATCTTAAAGCGATGACTTATAAGAATGATAAGTGAATGAAGTGAAAAGATGACAAACGAGAAGAAGCTTCACTCGCCACTTCGTTTGGTAACAGTTTGAATTGCTTGTAATTGAAGTCCGAAAAGTGAGGAAAATGGGATAACAAGACGAGTAAGAGTGTGTGGTCGTACGTAAAACAACAATCGAATGATAAATTATCGGAAAACATCATCGGGTAATTACTTGAGAAATGATGAAAATTGAAGTCAATGGGTATGTTCCTCATCGTTTAAGCACGAACAGTCAGAGCAGCAAGTTCTGGGAGGTCGGTCTCTTTCTCTCATTGACTCCATATCACCGATTCTCTCTCTCTCACTCCTCTCCGTCCGTCCTCAACCTTTCTTTTTTCAGCCTCATTCTCCGTTCTATCTTTCTTCGAACTCGGATTTGTCCATCTATGGTCGTGTGGTGACTAAACAAACAGACAGGCAACTGCGTGTGAAGAACTGACCATTGGGTCGACGAGAAGCCAAGAAGAGTTGGCGCACATTTACCAGGCAAATCTACCTGATTATTGTTGAATAGAATAGAACAAAAGCAGGCTTTTGCGGAACAGAGGAATGATTAAGCCCGAAAACTGGAAGAGATTATGAGCAGTTAGAGAGAGAGAGAGATGAATAGAGAGAGAATTGAAAGCGGAGCAAAATCGGACAAAAAAGCAACGAACTGAGGGGGCATTGGCACAGAAATTATGCTGAGAAGGAGGAGCACATTAAGCTTTGACGATGTGAAAATTCGATCAACTATGTGTGGCGAAGATATGTTACTAATTCCCAGGAGAAGTCAAAAGATGAATAGAAATGTTGTAACAGACGATTTATGAATCATGAAAAATGATGAAAGATACATCATCTCACGAACTTCTGGGGTGGTCAGGAAATAAAAGAAATTTTCTTGTATTTCAAATTTCTCCAGCTTTTTCTGATGATGATGGAGAGAAGCGAATTGAAGAAAGAAAAGAAAGAAGGGAAGAGGATGAAAGTTTCCGAGAAACAGTCAAATGATATTATCGATTGATGAAGGAATGATGATGAAAATGGAAGATCATAAACTTCCAACCAAATTCCATAATTCCCATAATTATCGTTAACAGTTTGATAAAAAAGAAGACGAAGACATACATTGTGTTGATGTCGTCGTATGGACAGACAACTCAACCGACAAGATGCGAACTTGAAAGACGAATTTATAAGAACGAAAAACTGACTTTATGAATTTGATTAAGACAACAACTTCGAAATACAAAAGAGGTAATGGGAAAATCAATCGATAACCATCGTAGATTAACCGGATAGAGGAAGGTGAGGAGGCGAAAAGATGACTGTGAAAGGTCTGAGAGTTATCGACGATCTGAAGAACTGATGAAAGTGAAGAAATGAGGCGTGAATATTCAATTGGGAAACAGACAGGTGTTAAGAAAAAAAGTACTTTTGAAGGCGTTCAAGGAGAGAATGAGCTGTTTCGACTTTTCTCTAAGCCATAATTAATTTGAAAAATGAAGTAGCAAAGACAACAAGTGTACATTAAAAGAACGGTGGGATTAATACAGAGAGAGAGAGAGAGAGGGGGGTGAAGACAGGGGGGCTGAGATTCAGAAAATGAGATGACTGATAACTGGAATATCAGTAGTGAATCATCATCATCTGCTTTGTGATTTCACTCAATTCCAGTAGAAAATCATGTAGCTGGAACTTGTTACACATCTTCTCAAAGAAAAAGTTATATGTTTATAATAGTAACTATACGATATGCAGTTATGATATGTGCAGATGAGATTACATTGGGAAAAACATGAGAGTTGACCTTTTTGGAGCAGATACTCCAAAGTTTCCAATTACTAGCCAACCAGCTGTTTTGGTCAAGAGTTGTCCAAACATAGAAGTGACTTAATACCTCAACACACTCGCTCAATGTCTTTCTCTCCCTCTATATATATACATACATAGGCATAGACATAGACACTCCCTCTCTCTCTCTCTCTTCATGTCTTTTGGAAGAGGAAGCAGATTGTAAAAAAAAACTTCGAAAATGAACGATAAAAACAACAAATTGAATAACTTCAATGCTGTTTTGTTACAATTAAAACTTGAACACTAGCCAAAGAACACAAAATTCTTATATAAAATGATCGAAAATTAGTGAAACTGTAAGAAGCACTAGCAACACAACGGAAATGACTCGTAATGATTGGAGGAACTATTGAGATCTTTAGATGGCCTGAGATAACGAATGTAAAATGTAAGATCGAAATTGAGACTGACAACTAAATCAAGAGTTGGGCCGAAAGAAAATCAAAGAAAACGGTTAGGAGTCTTTCTTCTATCTATCCATTTATGGAAATAGGCCGATGACAGGCGCAAAAAAGATCATCAGACAATCGCACAAGTGTTAGTTGGCAGAAAGAATCAAAAAAAAAGAAGAAAAGGAAAAAAACGAAACAAAAATTATTAATTAAAAAATAAAAATGTTAATGTGGGGGAACGGGAATGGGTGCAGCATGGATGATACAGGACAAACTGAGAGCAACCGTTCTACAACTTGCATGCGAATGACAAATGACACGAGTGTGAAGAGTCACGTACTCCACGTGATATTTGAAAAAAATAAATTTACGACAACGTAAACTAATTGCTAATGTAATCAATAACCAATTAAAGTTTGTCAAAAAAATTTTTTTCTTCTTCTTCATTTCAAATTCAATGAGAAGTGAGAGAGAGAGTGAGAGAGTCAATTGGAGACTGTTCAATGCGGTAAACATGAAAAATTTGCTCAAAAGTTCATGAAGAACTAGTTTAAGACCGAAGAAACTGGAGGAGGCTATTGGCCAAAGCATCAAAGCAAGACAAGATGCAATATTGAAACGACAGAATGAAATTCAGACATAAAGGTTTTCTTTTTTTAGTTGAAAAACAGATTTTTCGTGTATGAAAATGACATGAACGAAGTTAAAGTAGGAGAACGACTTGATGACCAATGATGACCACCAGCAACAACAGGCATAATTCACGTAATGAACGAACGAAAAGAGGTAAGTCGAATGGTAAATTAGGAAGAATCAAGTTGAAGATGGAAAAAGAGAATGAACGAATGGGGCAATTGGCTCAAGTGGATCAACCAACTAAGGGTAACCAAGTGTCCTTTTTTGGCATTTTCAACTTATTTATCCAAATCCTCATACGCACATATACTTTTCAAATACCTGTAGTACAGGCGGAAAAAAACAGAAAACACATACACGCATGCCATATAGGGTTAAACAGAATGTAATAGATGAAGAGGAGGATGAAGAAGACTGTAAAAATGAAAACAAAGAGATACCGAATGGAAATTTTAATAAATGTTTCTGACCTCTGCCAAGTGTGTTGCCAGCCAATCTATCAATTTCCCATGAAAAATATACTTTGTGACTCGTCTGACCCTCATTCTGTCTCTCTCAATTTCATATACTGTCTATATTTCTTTCTCTCTTTTGTTCATCATACCTTTTTAACGTTCATTCCTCTATCTTTCTATGTCAATGTATGGCTACTATCCATTTATGGTCATAGCACTATGTAATTGTCTTTGTTTCTCTAGAAACTCTCATAAATTTCAATGTGATTCAAATATTCAGAGAACTGTTTCTCATTTTTTAACCTCTCCTCCTCTTCCTCTCTCTCTCTCACTCTCTCTCTCTTACCTTTCATACATTCTGTATGGAAAGGCTGGCTAAAGGTGGTCATAGTGTCCCCTTCGACCTCCATCCGTTCATGTCCTTGGAACAAACAGGGTCCGCTAGTCATTCCCATGCTGTCCAACCATCACCTCCTTCGAGGTCTTTTCTATCGATCAATGTTTGAGCGAGATAAAACGGAAGTAGGTTTGCCTCAGGCATGCGCGGGGGTTAATCAGTGTTAAAGGGCAACAAAACGATTGTGGGGGTGAGAATGAAGTCATAAACTGACAATATCGTTGAGAAGATCAAACTAACAAATGGAACCGTACAACAACAAAGGATAGCAACGTCAATACGTGCAAACAGTCCAATGGATTTGTGAAAACTTAAAAAAAGCTTGGATATTTGAAGATAAACCCGCGTGTTCCACGAAAAATGTCCAAAAGCCGTTCGTGCGAGATTTCGCACGTCAATAGGAATGTCGTCTCGTAGAGAACGTATGAGGAAAAGGAAAATGAAATCAGATAGAGATGAAGCAGAAGAACAAAAAAAAAGAAAAAAGGAAACAGAATTTAAAACAAAAAAAGCCAATGATGAACAATTTGAGTCATTTTTGTGAAAGAAAAAATAAAAAGAAACAATTATGATGAGCTGTTAGCAGTTGCATGACAGAAAGGCAGCTAAGACGAAAGACATACGACGACAATCATCATTTGAATGTTTTTATTCAAATATTTAGAAGGTAAGGTAGTATAGGAGAGATGAAGAAGGCAGAGAGAGAGAGAGGGAGAGATGAGGAGAGGATGAAAGAAAGAGAATTGTCCTTCTCGCACCTAATCTGTCTTACTTTATGAATAGAGTACACGTAATGATAATATAAAAAAGAAAAAGGAAATAAGCGTAAAAGAAATGAAAAGAAACTTTATAATGGCGAAGAAATGGGAACGAGTAGTATAATCCCTTCCCTCTTATAATAGAGATGAGTTCTTAAGAGAACTGGAAGACAGGAAGCAAAAAAAAAGAAAACCTTTTGGCTTTTTACAAAATATTCAAATTTTTCACGTGACGGCCACGTTTCACGTGGAGATTGGTCATGAGAAGGATTTTGCATTTGATTGAGAGAACGATGTGAGGAACGGTTGCTTTTGCTATTTCGACCTTCTGAAGGACATTTGACTCAACAATAAAAGTGACAAGGACAAGTATGTTTGAAGCTTCCTCTCAAGCTTCATCCATCGTCTCCTTTTTCAACAATTTAATAGGCTTTATGTTGAGTCGTTAGTTCAATCTCTCATCTTATAACCTTTTTTTCTTTTTTCTTCTTTTTAATCTCTACTATCATCCAATGTCTTGTCTTTCCACTTCGAAGTGGACAAAAGCATTCGCGGACCATTGGCCGAATGAGTCTCGTAGAAATCAAACAAACAACATTAAGAGAGAAATATTAGAGAGACAACAGACATTAAGCTCATAGAAGAGCCTCAGACTCAGATATGCTTCATAGACAAAAAGATGATTGGTGGCTACAACTTCAAGCTACATCTATCCTTCACTCTCAGTCCCAATCATCGTTTCTCTCTCTCTCTATCTCATCTCATTCTTCTGACTGACCTTTACAGTTTCCTGTTCATTTTTCCAATCATAACAGAAATAGACGAGAATGAATGAAAAAATTTAAAAAAGAAAGAAACAGTTTGGAATCTGGAAAGTCGAAGACCAATAAACTAGATCGTTTACGATATCTATCGGGAACATAAAACAGAAAGAAAAAACAATTTTTGAATGAGGCTTCTTGTTGCAATTCAGATTTCAATTCACAGATCATCAGAACGGCAACGGGAACACATGAATCACGAACGAAGAGGATAAGAGGGAGAGAAAGAGAGAGCGTAAGTGAGAAGATAACGAGAAAAAGGAGAAAATACAAAAAAGTCTGGCAAAGAAATGGCTATTGAATAGAATGAAATAATGACATTCAATAGATATTTCTAACCTCAGCTCTGTCCAGTTCAATGTATTTATTCAGATAAAGCTGAAAGCTGTCAGAAAAAATATCAACACACAAGCTTCTCTCCAGAAGCTGTTGTTCGAAGGAAAAAACGTGAAACGGATAATGTTTCTTATTGAATATAACATGAAGTCAGATAGATCAAGTGAGATGAAGGGAGAGAGTGAGAGAGAGAGAGAGGGATATAAGAGAGGAGGGAAATGAGGGAGTTCAAAGAAAAAAGGGAGAAGAGATGGCCTTGTTGGAACACTTGAGATTGCTTGGATCTCTTCATTACTTATCTTTTCAAAGAGTTAATGAAAGAACACTCAATAAATGACCGTCGGGAGAAGAAATTAACTCAAAAACAACCATATTCTATACATGTATAGTTAATGAAAAGCAATAGACTTTCGTAATAAGATTAACCAATTTCTCTATCAGAAAGAGAAATTAAGGAAGAGAGGGAGAAGTTGGTTAAGGCCGAAGAGTGTGGGTGGAGGAAAGGCGAAGAGTGAGAGGAGAAAGGAAGGGTGGTGGGGGGATAAGGATGATGCGAATAAGAATGAACAACTTTGCAACAATCTTATACAAGCTAGACACATAATGAAATGGCATCACCATATATAGAAAAGAATGTTGAAACTTCAAGTATCATTTTCAACCAACTGGACACAGCAATTGCTTTCCCTCTTCTCCCTCTCTAAGGTAATACAATAGAAATAAGAAAATGCCAAATAAGGGAAGATGGGCTAAGAAATCACCGGGCGGACCTGTTCTATCCAGTCAACTCATTAAGAGAGTTATCCATGCTTTCCTGCTTTCATGCTTTGTATTTCCTTTCGGAATCATTAGGAAATAAAAAAAGAAATTTTAAGGAACAAATATATATATCTGGCTGGCAAGACTGTTGACCAACACATTTGGCCAAAAAAAAACAAACGATCGTAAGGATTAGAGAGAGAGAGAATCAGAGAGGGAGGAAAGGAGGGGAAGACGAATATGGGAAATGAAGGAATCAAACTACAAAGTTATTCCAATGAAAAAATAAGGCAATAACAACCTAATAATAGAGGGAAATGCGAGAAGATGAAGAAAGTGCTTGAAATTACTTTATATGGTATGGTTCAATTATAATTGAAAGCTAAGAATGCGGTAGATGAGAAAAAAAAAGAAGAAAAAGTTATGAGAGAGAAGTAGAGAGCGAAAGGATGTCGGTGAGTGTGTCAGAAGGTTCGTGGAGCACAATAGGAGAATAGACAGTCGAAGAAAGAGAATAGGAGTGGCTCTGTATAATTTACCGACGTAGGTCCTTATGTCTTCTATTCTACGATATGAGTAGGACACGTAGAGAGCTAATGAAGCAAGTAGTTGAAGACAGACAGTCCCATACACACATAAAAGGAGAGAGTGAAGAAGGTGAAGATGAAGGAGAGAGAGAAGGATAAGGTCTGCTTATCCAATCAGAAGAAGCAAAAAGGGCTGCAGTGTTAAAGGGCATACTAGATAACTAAATAAGGATAAGAAATAAATGGAAAATGAATGTTATGAAGGAAGTATGATGATGTTAAGTTATAAGGAAGAAGAAGAAGAAGATGAAAAAGGAAGAAACAAACCTTCCATTGCGTACTTACTTTAGTCGCGTCAGATTGAAAAGACACAAAGTATGAGAGATAGAGAGATAGTATGATGAGAAAGTGAGAAAATGAGAAAAAGACGGATGATGAGTAGAAGATTATTAAGAAAGGATTAACAAAATGATTTGATTAAATAGAAAAAGCCATAAGATTCATTTCTAATCAATCAATAATACGAGCTTTATACCAATATTTGTAAATTGTTTTAAATCCAACGAATAAACGTCCATTTTCTCATCAAAATTGTTACTTTCAGATTAACTTTTCATCTTCTTTTCTCTCTTTTCTCAAGAAATAACAACCATCAACCATCATAACAAAACATGATTTCAACCCATATTTGGTAGTGGTGAAGATGATGATGGTATTGGTCAACTAACAGTGAAAGTTACACATCCATATGCAGACAGAGATAGAGATAGATAGAGAGAGAGAGAGAGAGTGAGAGATACATATATACAAGATGCATCTGTAAAGACCAAAAAATGAGACGAACGAACGGATAAATGAGGGAAAACTGGACATGACCAAGAGAACAAAAAAAAGTGAATGAAACGTCAACAGAAGGGATAAATGCTTTGAATATACCATGCATATCTCCTCTCCTCCTCTTTCTCTCTCTCTCGTTCTTTCGGTGTCCTTCCCCCCTGCTTGACTTACAGATAATCAATCACAAAGAACTTTTCATTAACAAAAAAATCAAATTAATGGAATGGCTGTTGTATGTGAGTCATAAGCATTTCGTTCACAATGAAACGATTTGTGAAGAAAGGAATTGAAGAGAAAAAAAATGAAATTTTGCAACAACTGACTTCATTAGAGATGATACTTCACTCCTACTTCTCTCTATCAGCCTCTCTCTCTCTCTTAGTCTCACTTCTGAGTCATACGACACGTTCAAACGAATTTACGTGAAACAGAATATTAGCATATTGACGTGGAATCAACTGTCTGTTGCGCGCTTCATTCAAATGACGTGCAGTCGCAAGGAACGGTTGTGTATGTGAATGTGTGAGTGAGTGAGTGAGTGAGTGAGTGTGTGTAGTGTATATGTATGTGTGTTTTGAAAAACAAACAAACAAAAGCGTTGATATCGAGAAAGGTCATCTACATCTGGTAGAAAATGAAGTGAACTGGTCAAAAGAGAAAACAAGGAATAAACTAGATAGTTGTCTTGTTGTATATAAATTATAACTTTAAGAATCATTCTATTATCAACAGATGAGCGAGACCAATTCCGTCTCGTTAATGCTTCTTGAGAAGTGAGTGGATATGAACGGATATCAATTCAGCTGTCAAGATGAAAAGGAAAAAAATAATGAAAATTTTGTAAAAAAAAAAAAATAGAAAACGAAGAAGGCAAAAACACAAACTTGTGACTGGATTCAATGGAATCATCTGCATAAGGAGGATCTTACATCAAGTGGTTTTCTTCAAGAAAAAGGCCACAAAAATTCCTTTTTTTTTCATGTTCCTTCTCATCCTCACTTACATACAGAGAGAGAGAGAGAAAGAGAGAGAAGGGAAATCATATAAAGAGAGAGAGAGGGACATAACCAACCACCTACAACTATGGCTTGACTAGACTGTGATGATTATGATCAAAAGACAAAAGCATTTATTGATTATATGACCTCTTGGTTATTATAGTTTGAGGTTAAGACCTACACATCTCAATGGCACATCAAAGCATTTTGAATATGTTTATGACTTATTATGAAAAGGCTGGAATATTTGCTTTAATACAAGTCTTTATTACTACTAGCTTCATACTATGGATCGAGTTATTAAACTATACAATTCCTCTTCTTCTTTGAATTAAAAAAACAAAGCAAATTTGAAAATATGACCATTGGGCGATGATTAAAATTTCTTATATTCATGGTTGCTTGAGCATTCATCTCGCTTTTTGCAAATTCTTCTAATAGCCTGGGGCTAAACGAGGGACGGGACAGTGGTCACAAGCTCCGGTTCCACCAGATCGTCCTGGATTTCCTGGTTGTCCTGGATGTCCTGGAACTCCTGGTAATCCTGGTGCTCCGTCGTCTCCGGCTGGACCAGGATGTCCTGGCTGTCCAGATCCATCACGTCCTGGGCCTCCTGGAAGACCTGGTGGTCCTGGTAATCCTGGTGGTCCTTGTGGTCCTGGTGGTCCAGATCCTTCAATTACTCTTCCTGGAGCTCCTCGTTCTCCGCCTCTTCCTGGAGATCCTGGTCTTCCAGATGGTCCTGGTGGTCCTGGTGGTCCTGGTGGTCCTGGAACGCTAGCTCCTCCACTCTCTCCTGGGTGTCCTGGTTGACCTGGTTGTCCCTGAAAAAAATAGCATGTAAATGCTGATAATATAGTTGTGTCACCTTTGGTCCTGGTCTTCCTGGTGGACCTGGAAGAGCTGGCTCGCAAGTGAAGCAGAAATCGTTTATGGATGGTCTGTATCCTGGCTCAGCATCAGCACCTGGAGCACCATCAGCTCCGGGAAGACCGTCTTCTCCGTTGCCTCCATCCTCTCCAGGGAATCCAGCAGGTCCGGCTTGTCCAACACCACATGAACAAACCTGAAGGCATCGTATAATTAGTGGTATCTAAACTATATAGATACCTGAGAAACAGAAGAGATGGTGTGTGTAACGGGCAACTCGTGAACAGGGGCAGCTGAAATGAAAAAAGTCACTTCAACAAGATGTTTGATAGTTACAAGGTTGAACGTAGGCTGGACGGTGGATTGGTCCAGTAGCATAGGTGTTCTGAAATATTGAAAATGAGAAAACATTCTGATCCCTATGAACTAACTCTTTGAACTCCGACTGGAGGAGCGTGTCCATACTGCAATACAAACATAAAGTTACAGAAGGTAGAAAATGAAACAAACTGTTTGATAGCGTTGTTGTTGAGGTTGTTGATAGACTTGTTGAACAAACTGTTGTCCATAACGATTGCCATATCCAGCATTGCCATATGAAGCTCCACCGTATGATGGAGTTCCATAGTTAGGTGGTGCAGTAGCGTATTGTCTTTTGGCACGAGAATTACCAGCTCCCATTACCATAGAAGCCTGAATAAACAAAATATTTCTTTTTCATCTTCTTTTTTTCATCTGCAATTGAGTAGAAGCATTGTCCCTTATATAGAAAGAAGAACGAGAGAATTCAATGGCTAATATCTCAAATGTAACAGATTCATCTTCAGCCTGGATTCTACTTCAGAATTAGTCTTTAGACAAACAATGGAATCTTGTTCGGTATAGCCTATAGCCTAACAAATATTTCGAAAAGACATCTCAAACAGACTACTTATCCATATAAACGCGAATATTGCTTTTCCTAATTTGCATATAAAGCGAATATGCTTTAAGCTCCACACCATCACATCTCACTACAACTTTCTTCAAACTTCAACTTATCTTTGAACTTCAATGACAGCTGATATTTCCAAAAAAAGGAAAGGTCGTTATCAAGGGAAGGGAAGATAGAAAAAAAAAGTTTATCATCGTTTCACTTAGCAGTAGAACTTTGGAAAACGATCAGCTGCTTCAAACTGGTTAACCAATTTTCCGTAAACATTTTCCCGATGATCAAAAAAAAAAGATACTCAGTTTGTCGGTTGTAACCGAAACCATTCAGTAATCAAAGACCCGGCTACAGAACTCTCAACGCTAATTTACCTTGTGAAGATCATTCCATAGGTCGCGAGATCGAATAGAGCACAGTTCGAGCTCACTTTCAAGCGATGATTGAACTGTTTGCATTTGAGAGAAGAGCACTGGCACAATCACGATAGAAGTAACCTGCAAAGAAATCTCTACTAACCAACGAAACAACTTGCAAGAACATACCAAAGCTGTGACGGTAACTGCGGTACCGAAGATGGCTATCCTCTTGTACGTTTTGATTTCGTTCTCTTCATCACTGAAGAAATCCTTTTCAGATGTCATCCTTACCCTGCAAAAATTTTGAATGAAAGACGGTTTCAGCAAAGTCAAAAGGCATGAGGTAAGGTCAGTTTGAAGAACTCTTTGAACAAGAGTCTGTGATCGTTAAAACTTGGCATTTTTCTAAAAAAGAGACGAAATTATTTAGAAAAGTAATCAAGTCATGTAACGGTCTAACTGTTCCTTATATAGCCAGTTTCTTTTTATTTGAGGTACTGCAATATGAAGAAGAGAGAACAGTAGAAACTCCGCCCTGAACCGGGCAACTGAACTGTGCTGTCTTGATGTTCGGCGAAAAACATTTGCCATTTAAGGTGGTAAACTAACCGTTTTTTCCGGAAACGTCATTGGCATCTGATTAGAGCTGAGAGAAAGCAGAGATGATTCGAATGGCAATCTCTAAAATGACCTTTTTTCCATCTCCCAGTGTCACGCGTTTTCCTATTCACAACTGATCAAGATGAAGGTGGTTCCTAACTGATCAAATCATTTTTGTTTCTTTTTCAAAATACGAAAATGGCAAGTATACTTTACAAGTTATCCAAATGCCCACTAGAACAACTATGGAATTCCTGAAATTGGCATTTCATTGACAACATCGACACACCTACAATTCTCACTTCCAGAAGAGTTCTTGCAGAACAAATCAGAAATATAACTGTCTTCATTTCCAATTTACTTTTCGTCCAACTAGACCCAGGTTCTCTCTGACATGATCTGTCTTGTTCTACTCCAGAATTGAATCTCTTGCTCGTGCCGTTGGTCATTACTAAATTAAAAAAATAAACCAGAAAATGGTTTGAAACCTATAGTAACATGGCATCTGACATATTTCTTCCTTCTTAAGTTTCTCTTTAGTACAACCACTCAGTTCAATGTGTAGCGCATACAATGAATAAGCGTGAGCAACCAGCTCCCACGTGAAAAATATAAAAATAAAAAAACGACTGTACGACCGCCAAAAATATTTTTTCACGTGGAAAATGATTTTTTGAGTTTTTCATTTTTACGTGAACGCTTCAGTTGGTCCGGTCGCAGATGTACTTCTGAGCTCATAACTCCCTCCAACCTCAACGGATTTTCAGTTTTTTTTCGATTTTTTTCGCAAACTCATTCCAAAACTGATTTGAGAGAATAGATGACCTGTAGTGATTCAACACCTCTATACTCGTAAGTCAGAACAGACCTCATTTATACTAATAATAGAGCGATTAAGGGAAGCATACTTCCATTTGGTTCCAAATGGCATTCAACTTGTATTCTCTTTTTCATGGGCACACGTAAGATGTTAACTCTATTTCTCGGGAATTTAATGAAGAGAGAAAAAGGTGAAATAAGCGAATTTCTCTTGAAATCCAGTTCACAAGGTCATTCAGGTCATCGGTTTGAGTACTACTCAGTAGTGTCCTTTGTAACCCGCAGTTTCAGAACAAAACTAAACTTTACATTTGTTGTTAACACGCACAAGTCAAGAGCTATAAGGCTGAAAGTAACATTTTTCTACAATCATTCTGTTGTTCCTTACCATCCTCTGATGATGAAGGCGAGACAACTCGGAAAAGGAAATGGTCGAAGGAATGGAGAAGAACAACAATTGAAAATACCAAAAATGTGGTTGAAATTATTTTTCCGGAAGCAAATTATGGATTTTCATGAGAATTACTCTTGTTTATGGGTCGAGACAGAGCCGACCCATCCCACACTACAACGAACTTTCTGTAGTTTACTGTCCTTCAATTTGTGTTCGAACAAAAATATTTCCTTTTTTGGCCAAAAAAAAAAAATCTCCACAAAGGTCATTTCCTCATATCCGGTATTTCGGCTTCCAGTTTTTCGTAATGTTGACCGTTGTTCTTCCGAATCTCGCGCATTTCTATCTTCTTCTTCTTCTTCTGTGCTTCCAAACCTCACAGACACTCGTGCTCCTGTCAACTAGCTCAATTTGCTCTTTCTTCTCTCAAATGCTCCAAAAACATTTAAGTTTTGCTTCTTTCTCGCCAATTTAATTTAAAAATTATATTATTCTTTTAATATTTGTTTATGTTCATCTAACATATATGTTCTCCGGTTATAGCGATAGCCATATAAGGTGTTCATAAGATGTTATCCTGAGAAAAGATTCTCTGAGAGACTGTACATCAGGCTCGATCCAGTTTTGCTCTTTTAACTGCCCACCAGCAACACTGAGCGATAGTTTCTCTTCGTTTTGGGTGTCTCTCTCTCTCGCACTCATTGTCTGTTCGTGCTATCTTTCTATCTGTTCTCTAACCATTTACATAGTCATGAACATTGATTGAATGAAGCCTTTGACGAGCATAACTTGACTCAATGGGAACAACGTCTTGTCTTCTGAGCTCTATGAAAGGTTTTTTGATTTTTGGCTGATTGCTCTCTGATAACTCCTATTCTGATTAGCAACCTATGTGTATTTTCGTTGTCTTCTTCGGCCATTTCTCTTCAGTTCATTCCGTACTTTATCAAGCAACTGTCAGATTATTGTTTTATGAGTTTGTTGAGAACATTTCAATACTAAACCATCACAAATTCGTTCCAATTCCATTCTATTTTGAGCTTGTTACTATTCCACTTTTTGCTGGAAAGTCATTCAGTCTCTGCGAATACAAGTTTATACATAATGTCTGACCTTTGGCCGATTTCCTCCTTGCCCTTCATGTTTTATTTCAATTATATATCATTATGAATACGAATTCAAAGATTCGCTAGAGCTTTAAACAATGTCTCAAACATCAAGTTCAGACATCTATTGGCTATCCATATAAGGCTCATAATTTCATAATTGCATGTGACAAACTTTATCACCACCACTACCACCTGCTCCAATTGCATCGCATTCCGGAATTGGCAATAGGAAATGACTCTGTTTTCTTATTGTGAAACAACTTGGACACTGTCTAATCTCAAATGTTTTCATAGAAAACGAAAGAAGAAGATACGATGGGTTGTCAGCTTGAATGAACAGAACAAAAAAAGTCCGTGTAGACAAAAGGCTTCAGCCGTTACGAAGCCATTGAGTGGCTTGGACTATATCTTAGTTCTTCCTCTTCTCATGCACAAGACTTCTCAATATCTATATTTAGTTTAGTAATTCCATTTTGATTAAACTACAACAACGAAATTATTTGTGCTTGTTAAAATATCTGTGATATTATTGTGCTTATCAGGTTCAAATGTTGCTACACTGATAAGAACTAGAAAACTAATCACTTCGGCTATTCAGCTGGTCAGATTGCTTTCAGTAATGGTGCAGCCACTACTACATCGTTCTCGTGCACTCTAAGCCAGCTAACCAGATATTGTATTTCTTTTTTTTCTCTTACATAGAGATATGGAGCTGATTTGCAATTACTTTAGCTTTCATACTCCCTCATTAATCTTCAATTAATTTTTTGGAAGCTCGATGACCATGTCTCATGATGATGTCATAGCAATGAAAGCAACCATCTATCTAGTTCCTTCTCTCTCAATCTAACATCGTCATGAGTGAACCAAAATAGCTGCTTCCCTTTTAATACTTTTTAATATTATAATTATTATTTTGGTTGTTATCGTTACGTTCTTCTTTCTAATAACGGCTCTGAGAATGCAAGATGAAATAGGAATGCAACCGCTCTATGCGACATGTTGAGTTGAAATGAAATGTACTCCACGTACACGTCATTTCACGTGAATTACCGTGTAAACGTGTATGAACGATCGCATCTGCTTTTCGTCGAGAAGAGACAACTCCGACTTTGGAACAAAAGTGAAAAAGAGAAAAGAGAACGTGAGAGAGAACACTAGGCAATTCGTTTCCTTTTACTCTCACCCTTCCATATCCATTGGCAACGGCTAATGGGTCTTTTACCTTCCGCATGTCGATTCTTTGAAATTCGTTACGTTATATTACTTAATCAAGATCACGAACTCAACAAAAGTTTTCAGTTTTTGCATTATGACAGCGCCAACTATTTCGGAAGCTGACCAGGCTCTCATTGCTAAACTACGTCAGCTGCTTGAAAAGGTTACAGCTTCTAATCGCAAAGCGAAAGCATCAAATCCAAATTACAGGAATTAGAACTTGTTCCCGAGTATTCAGATGATTTCTCTCTAATGCGATGGCTTATTGGATGGGACAGAAAAATCAGTAAGTTCTATTTTTACAGCCAATATCTGTTCTTGGGCGCCTCGTTGTTGTAAAAGTCACATGAAGTATTTATAATTGTCACTTTTATACAATCGAAACTGGACAAACATGAAGAAAGCGTTGCTTTTTCAGATGTAATCGTTCCTAAACTCCGCTTCTCTTTGAAAGCCATTCATGCTCTTGGACTGGACAGCGAAGACTTGACGACTTTCGACAAAATCCAGGACAAATGCGATTCGTACTCTGTGCCTCTTCAGTCTCTCCCAGGTTGAGCTATTAGTGCTCATCCTTTTGTAAACGAGTATGTATAGGCTCTGTTGTTGGAATGGACAAAGAGGGCAATGTCTTATCCATCCAAATGGTTGGAAGGTTAGATGCTGTTGGTTTGATGCAGTGTGCACGAAACAGTGATCTGTACAAAATGAGAATTGCCGAAAGCGAAGGAGTCATGCAGATTATCAGGTACCGACCCAATCAATATCGTTTTCTAATCTTCTCATAGAGCTGAAGAGAAGAAATGCGGTCACCCACTGGGAACCTCTGTTATCTTTGACCTGGAAGGTATTTCCATGAGTCAGTTTGAAATGAATGCAGTCAAAGTTGTAACAACAATGCTCGGACAGTTACAGGTTTGGAATATAAACGATATATTCAAGTAACTAGAAACTCTAGGAACTTTTCCCTGATGTTGTTCGCAAGATATTTGTCATCAATGCCCCGTCTTTCATCCAAGTGAGTCATACTTCCAAGTCACAGCTCTTAGAGTCGTTTTTAAGTTCATCTGGACTTTGGTTCTACCTTGTCTAGCAAAGCAGACACAGCAGAAAATCAAGGTGTTAGGAAGCGATTGGAAAGAAGTGCTACGAGTAAGCTCTTTCTGATATGCTGGAATAATAGTGTATGACTTATAGGAGTCTCTGGGAGAAGAGGTGTTGTTCGCGCATTGGGGTGGAACTCGTGAAGCTGATAGTGAATTTGGAAATGTTCGATTAGGTGGCAAAGTACCACAGGAACTCAGGTAATAAAACGTTCATAAAACGTTCATAAATCGTCATACCTTTCTGTCAGGTACGATCCTTCCGCTGATCCACCAGTAGAGTCTCTGGAGAAACATGTTGTGTCCGCAAGGAGTACATCTTTTATTCCCATCAAATTAGATAGTACGGATTCCAATCAATATTCAAGTCTCAAATTGCTTTTATAGATTATCAGAAAGGAAGAAAGCTTACGTGGTGGTGGAAGTTAGATGGCCATGATGTCAACTTTGCCGTTTACCGTTCCTCAGAAGGAAACGAGAAAGTGGCGGAGCATGTGGACGATTACATGCTTGAACCCAAGTTCCGACTCCAAACAGAATTCGTGCCAGAGCAGGGCGAGGTAAGACTTCAGACATCAGCATTAACTGAAACTGATCATGATGTTACAGGTGTGTGCAGAAGAACCTGGAATATATAAATTCGTTTTTGATAACACTCACAGCACATTACGGTCAAAAACAATTCGATATTCTATAAAAACATTGTAAAGTATAAATCAGACGCGGACTGAGTAATAGAAAAACGTGATCTTTAATTATTTATGTGATCAAAAGCATGTATATATGGCATAACATTTGATTTCAAATAAAGTTTAAACATGAGCAGTTTTCATTTTGTGGTCGAAGTTTGGATGAGGCGGTTGTGCTTAAAGCTGTGAAACATAAGCCTCATAGTAATAACATGAGAGAGAGAATGGAAAGAAGGGAGGTCAAACAGACAGTAACACTTTACCAATTAAGATACATAACAAAGTATGTTTCTTTCTCTCTGTCTAATATTCAAACAAAAGAACACATCAACATTTTGTCTCATTCAGTTTCTTTCTTTCTACTCATAATAGCTGACGAAGCTATGGCTGTTCGCTCAACATGTATTATTTTCGCTCTCGCTCTTATTTGTCTAGCCATAATCTCAGAATCATTATCTCTCTTCAAATTCAGTAAGTTCCATTTTGAACTTTTCCTATTCGGCATTCAGATTGGTTCATAGGCGCTAGAAAGGAAGGACTATGTTGTGGTCAAGTAAGAACGAACTCACAGATCTCAATTATTGTTGTAGAAATCCTTCATCATGATCATCACGGAATATGCTATGCTTGTATTGGTCAGCGTTCAAATCTGCACAGCCATCTATGGAATCTGTATCTTGTACTTATCCTTTTCTAACCTAGGAAACAAAGTATTCTTTAAGGCGAATCAATGAGTCAAATCACAAAATCTCGTTTTTGTTTTTCTCGTGTATAGCAATCTGTACAACAATCAACATGTTTGTTCTCGTTTACTTTGGTCTCTCCTTTGAAGACATACCAAACCCGTCAGACCTAATAGCTCCAGGTTTGTAAAGCCTGAAAAGCATTTTTAACCACTTTCCTTTCAGATTACAAAGTAAGAATACGTTATGGATAAGTTTGATAACGTCGATTTCAGGTGCAGCTTTCAACTGGTTACATGAGCATCATCATATCTGCTCTATCTAACATTCTTGCTTTGATTTTTAGTGCCCATTTCTTCAGATATTCGAGAGAAACTGAAGATACCAGCCCTCTTCATGTAGCCACAACTTCTACAGATCCGATTTGGCCCACAGTAGTGTTCACTGCTACACGCATGCACGACATATACTGATTCACAACTTCGCGCTTAATATTTACTAATAAAAGTTAATTATACAAAATACAGAATACATTGCGACACTTTCTAGAAAAGTTTTAAAGTTAGCCTTCTACCTTCTACACCTCAAGCTTTGGTTAATGATCTAAACGAAATGTTTGTTGCTGGCATAAAGTTGTTGATCAGCTCCGACAGAGACTGCTCCAATTTGTTCACGGAGGAAGAGGCGAGATCCTCTCTTCAATCCACTAGGAGAGAGATAATCGAAGGCATTCTGCCAAGCTCCGAATGAAGGTGAATATGGAAGGACCGATACAGCCAAGCCTAAAACAGTTATAAGTTCATTATTTAGAAAATCACTTACCGGATCCAGCAACAGCCATAACAGTGCTCACCACAGTATATGGATATGACCAAGAGTTAACAATATATGGGACAGCAATGTTGAGGAAGGCCCCAAGATCTTTAGCATTCTAACACAACAGAATGAGAATAATTTGAATTTGGTGAAACGCACCTTCTTGCTTTGTTCGTCTTCTTCCTCATATACACCAGCGTGAACCAGAGCTCTGTCAGCGATATGTCCGAGAGCATGAACTCCCCAAACAATGACCAAATTACCGACAATTTGAGGAACGAGACCACTAAACACGGATGCAACTATCTTGTCAGTTGTTTTACCTGAACAATCCAGCTGGTCCTTCTTCGTTTCCGATTATCTTAAGACTGGAGAAGACACTGCCATACTTGACTTCTTTTCCGATGAGTTGGCCGATTTGACGGATAGCAATAACTAAAATGGAAAAATTATTGACATATATATATTACCAGGAGGAACCTGTGAAAGGACGAGATACAACAGTTGCTGCTACAACAACAACACTTTCGCGAATAGCATTGCGGAGCTGACGCTTGAAAGATTGGTGGTCAGTAAGATCTTTCTCTTCAGCATCTTGAGGTACTTCTTCAATACCTCCGATCTCAGGGTAGTTCTTGTCAATGTACTATAAAAAAGATTTGTTGACCCGATAAATTGAGATAAAAACCTTGATCATGCAACGAGTAGTGAGCTTATTAGTAATAAGAGCAACAGAAGCAGCATCCAATCCAGTGTAAAGGATAGTGAATCCCTGTTGGGTAGCAAGTTGTCTTCCTGTAATGTACAAATAAATAAGTTGAAACGTCGGATACTAACCGTAGCTGAAAGCGTTAGGAAGGAAATAAGCATTTCTTCCAGCACAAACGAAGACTCTTCCGGTTGACAATGGGAATGGTTCATGTCCGAGTTGAATCAAAGTCTTGACACATTGAAGAGGCCATGTTACAGCGTTCAAAACGAGATTTCCAACAGTCTTTTTGGCGAAGTCAGCCTACAAAAGACAATAGGGCCTATTTTGAATGCAACCGCTCTGAGCGTTGATTTTGTTTTCAAAATCTCGAACAGAAAGCCTATTCAACTTCAACTCACATCTTCTCTATCCAATCCAAGGAAGCGATCATGTTCTCTATCGTCAGCCATATCTATCTATAGGAGATTATGAAACAGTGAAAGAAACAAAACATAAAATAACAGTGGTTAAAAACCATCCATGAAAAAGCGTATGCAAATAGGAATATCTTATTAGTTGTATCACATATATGCACCCAAAATTACACGCTATATGAGCTGTTCAGGATTTTCCTGAGCTGCTCGTCAACTTGGTAGAAGTTGGTAAGAGATATATGCTCAACAGATCGAACGAAGGGGTCTTCAGTTCCAACTGATACAACATACTCTCCTTTGCCAGGTAGTTCCTTGGAGGAACTCTACAAGAACGCAGAATAAATTTTAAACTGAAAAACGACTTACAGAGATAGAATGCTCTTTCAAAGTATAACAATCCTCTACAAAAATTCTACCCAATATTGAGAAAACCGGAAACTCAGGCTTCTTCCTCTCTACAAATAGTTTGATAATACACAGAAGGTTCTCACTGTTCTTAAAAACAAACCTCTGAAATGTTTTTTTATAACCGAATCAATCTCATCACTGGTAGCGGAATGACCATCCGAGGCTATGAACACAGGGCCATTCACAACAACATCAATAGGGAAACGGAACAATCTGTAGTTTGTAACGATACGAAACTCTAAACAATAACAAAAAGTACTTGTGCACACCATGAGCAACCAATGTGGCCAAAGGCTGTTGTAGTACAATCACGTATCCTTGGTTGTCTACCTCAAAACTCGCTATTTCCGAGTTTGCTAAGGTTTTAGTATTCAAATTCTTTAATAAGCTAGAATTGGTTGTTATCTGCGACCCTTTGGTGGCATCATACTGAAAATAACCGCTATGTAACATGAGATAGTTATCAAAACAAACCTGAGGAACAAAAGTTTTCGGAACCCATTCAACGTCAAGTCCTGAAGCATGCATGGCATCGCTGGCCCTTCTTCGTTCTTCAGACTTCTCTAATATGTTTTGAATGATAGGATCGTTGTTTATATCAATGGCGTAATCTTTGTGCTTCTGTAACATTTTATATACTTTTCATAGATATCAAGAATCAAACTTTCTCTTCGAGAGTTAGATTTTCCAAATCAAGATTGACAACCAATGCCCGCCTCTGCTTATTACGTAACTCGATGAGCTCATCTCTTCTCTGCATTATGCGGGTTCGTTCCTGAACAGTTAATTGCAACAAAAATGATTTTCGTACTACATACTTCTAATGATAAGAATGCACTCCGTTCCAACGATGAGTAATCACTCTGTAAGTCATTTACTTTGGTTTTTCGTTCTCTAAAACACTTTTAGTAGAGAATAAAACGATGATAATCCTACACATCCATATCCGCCTCTAACAGTTTATTTCTAAACTCAGCTGCTCTTTGGAAATCTTCTCCAATGCTGTTCAAACTCAATTCCTATAATTATTGGTGTTTATGTGATCTTTTGACAATCGTACTTTTCCAGAAATGTCAGTCCCCATGAGCTTCTTATACAGTTCAGCACTGGCACGAGAACCTCTTTCTAAAATCTGATTGAGGCAATAAAATCCATAACGTCGAACGACATACTTGTCTTTCTTCAACCGTACATACAAGCGTACCACAGAAGAAGCAGGGCCCCGACCCTTCCTGAATACAAACAATTTTTCCGCATCCCAAACAATTTCTAATTAATCCATGAATTCTGGCCTGGCACTTACAAGGATGCCTTCCTTCAACCAAAATATTTTTTAATAATTTCTGGCTCCAAAGTACCTTTTATTAGTTGATCTCCGAGTGACGACTCCAGTTTGGCGGCCATAGCATTTATTCTATTTGCAGAAGTGGTAGCTCCAGAGCGAGGTTGGTTCTTATTCTTTCCTTTAGCCATGATCGAATTTTACTGAATTAACATTGAAGCAAGTATATACAGTGAAAAAAAAGATATGATCATAGCAAAAACTAAATCATGATGTTACAGTCTAGATTACAAACTTTATACGAACAAGTAACAACTCGAAATTGAATTATGTACACTAGCATCACATCATACCCTCTAAACCTAACACAGGCATCATAGTAGAATTGTCAGAAAAGTTTCTTCTGGATTCTAAAGCTAATGTTACCGAGGCGAGAAATGCGGGAACCGATTGCCTTTCACCAATATACCTGAAGTTGATATTTGGGTTGATCCATTTATCATGTTTACCTCCTCATTTCACTTTCAAACTGTTGCTCAGGAGTTCCCCAAACACTTGTAGAATTCGAAGGTCCCGAATCTAAGAGATCTACTTGTTGAGATTCATAATCATACTGGAAGTATATGAGATAGGGCAGGATATATCTGTTAAGCTTACCTTGAAAACAAACTCATTATCGGAATCATCATACACGCTATTTACATAACAAATTCCCTCATCAATATCTTTAACTTTAAACTGGAAACCTGACAAAACTGTGATCATTGCTCTAGAGAGGAGAATATTAGAGAAAATAAATAAAATTAAGATACCGATATTTCATAGCAAAATTAGATAAAGTAGACTCAACAGTGACTTTCTCATTTTCTGCTTTTGACAACTTCGCCTTTAGCGATTCGATTTCTTCATTACAGAAACGTTTACCACTCTCATCTTGATATGTCTCATCCTGTGAAATATGAATTATACTATATTATCAAGAAATAAGCTTACGGCTTTCCTCTTTCTTTCCTCTACTGTTCTGAAAGCATCATGAGCATCTTGCAGAGGATTACGAGCCATATGGAAAATCTTCAATGAAAGGGAGATATTCATTTACGAAAAATATGATAACCTGTGTAGAATCTCCAGCATCGGTCATTGTTTCATTTCTGGTTTGCTGCAGTTGCATGATAGTTAATTCATGAGACGACACCATGCTCTTGGCCTCCATCAACTCTTGATTACACTTCTCCAGTTTTTCTTTGTTCTGCTCAGCATCAACACAGAAATCTCTCTGTTCTTTCAATGTCCTGTTAATCTAACATGAGAAGAACGAAAAAAAAAGCTCACCGCTCGTTTTGTTCGATTCGTTGTTTCTGTTGTGCTACAGTTTCTTTAAGTAGTGCATTTTCTTCGGAAGCCTCCATCAAATCAGCATAGTATTTATCTCTTGCCGCAATGACTTCGTTCAACTGTATGGCCAAAGCCTTAATACGATCGACATCCTTCAAACAAGTATCACGCGGAGTCCCATCCATATCAACAAGCTTCTCAGCAATTACAAGCTTCAAACCGGCAAGTTCAGACTGTAAATCGATTATGACTACAAGAAACAGAACATTTATACCATTGTCTGTTTAACTACTTTATTCAAATGCTCCACATGATTTGTTAAGGAACGTTTTTCTTCTTCTGCTTGCAAATACTTTTGAGAACGACATCTAAAAATTTTTAGTTAGATAGTTTGATTTGTCCAACTAACCTTAAGAGTTTCAAGCATTCTTCTAGCTCACTTATACGGCTCTCCATCCAATCTATTTTCTTGTCTTTCTCATAGTCAATGGAAGTGTTGTGAAGTGTACTGTTAAACATTGAGCTCTGATCAAGTTCGTTCAAGTTAGATGCTGATTCTGAAATGAGTAAACTCCCGAAAAACTACAAATTTTCATACCAGGCTTGATAGGTGAAGGAGTTGCTATGCGTGATTTTCTTGACATAAAGGAATGTGGGTACGTTTCCTGTGTAGCGTCAAAAACAATGCTCTCGTCATTCTGTAATACGAATTGTGAGCTTTCTAAAAGAATCGAAACACTTACAATAACATCTTGCTGAGTAGTTTGGGGCTGTGGTGGGAATGTATGAGATTGCGATGACTGAGGCATAGTTTGAGGATATGGTTGTGGAGGTAAGGAGTGGGCAAATGATTGTTCTTGAGGTATCGCTTCCTGATACGACTGTTCTCCATACATGTGAGTCATAGTGTGACCATAAGATTGCTCCATGTCGTCATTATAAATCTGGCCAGGAGCTGGATCCTGTACGCTCATATGCACTGGCTGCTCTTCGAAGTTCTGGTTATAAACTGGGTCTTGTCTTGGAGGTTCCAATTCCGGTACAGCGTCCATATTAATCTGAGGTTGAAGTTCCTCATCTTCTTCCATTTCAATAAAAATATTGTAATCTTGAATTGAACCAGAAATTAATTCCCCGAGATCATCTGATATTATAAGAGAATAAGAAAATGCATACGAAATGCTCTAACCATTTGAAAATTCTTGGAACTGTAATTGTCCTGCTTCTGTCAACTGAAAAGTAGGAGGATGTGAGCGACCAAAACAAAAGATACCTACCTTCCGCACGTTCTCAGCATTCCACAACTTATTATTTTTCAAAATCAGCTGAGACTGTAGAAGTTGCTCGCGTGCTGTATTGAACCAAACACAATATTTATTGGCAACTTGTCGCCAATCATCTCCCTGAGTAACATCCAAAAATGAAGGTTCTGAGGTTTGAAGAAGTTTAACATCCTCTTCCAGCTCGAGAACTTGGTTCTTCAAGTCAGACTTCTCAGCTCTTAGCTGTTCGAGCTGGCTCTCCAAAGTCTAGGTGCGATAATTAGACAAATCATAAGTTCATCTCCTACCTCCTGTGCATCGCTCAGCTGCTCGTTTTTGTATTTATAATCTCTTAACTGTCTTTGTAAAACACTAATCTCGTTTTCTTTGTCAGCGAGGGCTGATTTTGAAGCTGGCACTGAAAGATAGAACTTCAGTAAGCGCAGTTCACGAAAGTAATCTACATGTTGGGCAATCGAATGTAAACGTATCATCAAATGTTAATTTTTTTTTCACAGAAGCCATAGCAGGAACACCGGGTATAAAATGTCGTTCGGCTCTTTCAGCTGCGGTAGGAGCCATTTTTCTGAGGTCCTCTTTCGCCTGCAGAATTGGAATTGGAGCATTATAGAAAAAAGTATAATACCTTGGCATTAAAGAGCATCGTTGCCTCTGTATCATTGTCATCTTCCTCAGCCACCAGATTCCGTCTGGCGAACATCTAAGTGAGAAAGAAAGTAAACAAAGCATTTGAATGAGAGAAATATTAAAGGTATCAAGCCTTCGTAATAAAATTGAAAAACTTGATAAGATGAACGTTTAAACAGCACAACAAACAAGCTTCAAAAATCTATTCTACCTAGAAATCTCACAATTGATAATTATATATACAAGTTCTCAACAGTTAGAGTTTTAACTCTTCTCTTATTTTTCTAGCTTCTTCGAAGGCCATTTGTTCTCTGAAGAATCAAATTATTTATTTCGTATAATGGGGTACAGACCTTAAGAACTTTTCATATTCTTCCTTCCTTTTTTGTACTGATATTTGTTCTTTGAAGTCTGCCATCGCTTTATCACCTTCTATATTATCCGGTACGCGATAGCCTCTCATCTAGGAAAAATTCAAAATGAAATGACGCCGTCTATTGGAAACCAGTAATTAGCATATAGTTCACGTGTAACACGGACGCGTGGCGTTGCTTGACGTTATGCTAATTTTTTTTTTTCATTGCGTCGAATATTTGACGCTAAACGGTTGTGATTTTAAAATGAAACTTACAAACTCTTTGAATATCTTAGGCTGGTTAAACATCCAGAAAGCACCAACAGGGAAGGCGATCATGAGAAAGAACCGAGCAGATTCCAACTTCCATCCACCCATCACTAAAAGAGAGAACAGTTAAAGAAAAACGAGAGAGAATACAACAGGTAAGGATAGATTCTGAACTATTTCACAGACTATACTATAGAATGCAAAAGTATCTACAATTTATTTGCAAGTTGATAGATATTATTTAACAGTTCACGATTCGTCAGAAGTATACATATCACTGTCGTCTATTTCAGACGGGTTCCAGGTATCTACAGTGTCGTCAGTGCCTTCTGATTGATCATCTTCATCCAAATCTAAATCGGGAAGCTCTTCTTCTATGAATTCGAAGAGACGGTTGAAACAATTGGTCTTGAAGTACACTCATATATGTATAGATATGCTATAATTACCTGTCCACTTTCTGTGAAATGAGCATATGGATCGTTTTTGTCAAGGATAGCATTGCACAACCAACAGAAAGCACAACTACATTTGACGCAGAGCATTTTGTTGCAACCTTCATTCTTCTGAATGAAACTGTAACGGCTTTGAGAAACAACCCGACGAACCTCAATAGGAACTTTGCATCTGGGACATTGACGGCCATTTCCTTGAATCCATATCTCACTCTTTATGTTTTCAACAGCGATCTTAAGAGCAAAACATATGTCGAGATCAGAAGACAAGAACCAAACCTGATACTGTTGCAATCCACCAAAGTGAGTGATCATCTTGTTTTTCTCTTCTTCGGTACCGTTTTCCCAACTTTCTACTATTGCATTTTTGTGTACTGAAACTATGTTTACTAGCAGCTCTCAATTAGAACAGACCATCTGTGAAACGGCAGTTATCGACCCCATGGAAAGTTTTTCGGCATAAAATGCAGAAAGTGAATTCACAAACTGAGCAAATGGCCAAGTACCTCGGTCTTAAATCTAATCCATATTTGAAATATATTTTGTTCAACAAACTCTTCTGAAATATTAGCGGGTTGTCCACATCTAGATCTAGCACAAGCAACAACATCGCTCATTTGAGCGATAGCGTTTTCAAGCAATATTCCGTCGTAACGCTCATATTCCTCCTTAAGGTAAGAACCATTGATATGGTTAGTCTATAATCACGAACTTCACCCAGTAATTCTTTGATAACCCTAGAAGCAGCTGAAGAATGACAATCGGAAGATAAACATTCCAACTGTTTTACCTGCAATAATTAGATCACCTTCAAACGGTCCAAGTTCATTCATTACCTGTACGTTCTTCAAACGATCATTGAAATAGTTACGACAACAGTCTTTACAGAAAATATGTGAGCAAGGGCGAAATTTTACAAAGTTTGTTCCCGTTTGGTTAATAGTACAAATCTTAAATAAGAGGAGTTACAGAAGAGTGAATAGATAACCAACTCACATCACAATCATGACACTGGGTATCGAAAATTCTTTGATCGGCCAACTCACAGCTTTCTAGAAAATCAGAAAACTCGGCGGGCTTCAGATGTGTCAAATCAAAACAATCGTTCTTTTCCATCAAATCAGCAGCGAAGTCGAAAATGCTTTGGCAACAAGCAGATAAGACGGAATAGCCGAGGTATTCATCACAAACTTCATTCAAGGAATGCATCAACTTTCTTTTCTGAAAGCAACGGTATGAATGCACATTGTGATAGAACGCTTACTGCATCTTGGTCCATCCAGTCACATTTGATTTCTAATATAGGTTTCTCGTTAGGATATAAAGATTGCAATGTGAAGCTCAGAACAACCGGCGAAAGAGCAGACACTTCCTCTGTGGTCTCGACTAAAGGACAGATAAGCATGAGAAGATCATATGAGGAATACCTTTGTCTTTAATAGTTTTTAATTTATAAGTCCTATCATTTGAAGAGTTCTCGATTCTGATGACCCCACTAACATTAGGAGCATTTGAACTGTATTTCACATTTTCCGAACCATAGATAGACTCCAAACCTTCTAACTCGAGCTCAATGTCTTCCATCTATATGAAAATTGGAAATGTATCAGTATGTTGAAATATAAGAAGGGTTAAAGCCCTAAAAAGGAAAACAGTAGTCAGTAGTTATGATAAGTTTATAATATTTTACAACGTTATAACAACGTGAATTACTGGAACGTTTTTTTGCTATGCAGATCTTTCAAAATTTCATCCAATTCATCATCTTCTAACTTATTTTCTAACGATGGAATTAAAGCCTAAACAAGCAAACGATTAAAAGCCTCATGAAAGCTACCCATACTTTGGCTTCTTCTGCTGTCTCAGGACACAAATTTGCTATTTGAGCTACTTCGAACTTGTGCAATGGCTTACCAGCAAATATAGCTCTCACAGCCCTAATAGTTTCACGATTTTTAAACCTTGATAGCCTACGAGCATAATTTAAAGTTTTGATAAAGACCTGAAGGGAAACATCAACACAATTATACTGTCATCAGCTTACCTCACTCATTTCTTCAATTTCATCTTTCTGTTCACTCTGTTGTCGACGATGTTCGAGTAAAAGGAAAACTTCAGATGTAAGAAGAGCATCACAACCGGCCGATTCGAATTCTAACTATCACGTGTAACATACAAACGTCATAAACAACTGCTTACCCTTTGGGAATTTCATCTCGGTGGCATCTTCTTCAACAATCTCTTCATTGATAGCACTCATCCTACCTGAAACATACAAAATTTTGAACGCTAACAGTAAAGCATCATGATGGTGTGAGATTGCGCAATCAAATGAAATGCGATAAATGGGAAAAATTCAAAATGGGGATGAGGGCACAAGTACCAAGAGGGATCTTTTATGTATATTCATCTTATTCTGATATTTTAATAGCTATAATAAAGCTTAAATTCACGAATATAAACTAATTGAAATCTGTCTTAGTCTAAGAATTTGAAAATCCATATGTTAAAGGTCGAATTAGCCGGCGCGCGCAGTTCAATCCATTAGCATACATTGAAGATTGAGTTAGGTCGCAAACACATACATACAGTTAGGGTGATAATTGGAATACAACTGTCTAAACTATTCCAGGGTTAATCAATTGGTTTTTGGTTTCATTGTTTACATCCTCGGATCATTTGGTATTGATGACGTGAAATGAAAAACATCCAAGGAGAGCATCGCATGCTTCGAAATCTTATTTTATATAATGAATCTTGCATAAGTAATCTCTCTATGAGGACATCAATAATTATAGCCTAAAAATTCTCCAAACATATAGTGCATCTATTAAAATCGCTTCCATTATTACTTCCAACATATGTCGTGTTATATCATTCATCCTTGCTGTTTGTCGCCTTGGCAACAGCTTATGCTTTGCCTTTTAGGGCCAGTAGACTCGCTCGATTCTCGTCAATGTCTATTGCCTTCCATTGCTCTTCTCTGCCGCCTGCTTCCATTCCTGCACGAGTATTTAGCATTTTCGCTCAATATTGCCAATTTCACAACATTTCCATTCCAATTTAGTGTTTCTGCTAGAGACGTCACGTGAATTTCACGTACCCAAGTGTGATCTTTATTTTTAAATGAACACGCGCACAGAGCGGTTGCATATAGCCTCACCTCTAGCTTGTTATTCAGATTGAAGTGCTACTTCTGTACACAAAATCATTATGTTCTGTTTTGCAGAAGAATAAAGTTTCACCAAAATTGAGTGAAAATCCTTATTTGTTTGATGAAGCATTGAACAATCCATTTAGGAATGATGCTGTTCTTTCACTTTCCACTTAGTTTTGAAAGAATGTGTACATTGATTCCATGCCCGGAATTCCGGACAATGATGTCAAAATCCGGTTCAAGTTCTTAGAGCAACACCTCTTGCTGACTGACCGGTCTCAACTGACCGAAAGCAATCTACGATCTCATTTTCTTAGTTCTATCTCCAGACGTGCTCCGTTCTTCAAAAAGATGTTTTCAGCAAAAAACCTCATAGATTTTTCCTACCCATATTTGTAGATCAAGTTGTTGTTGTTGTTTTCAAAGTTTGTTGAAGCAAGCTATGCGAACAAACTCAGATTGTCACGAGCATTGAACCTTTTATCGAACGCTACTTCTACTTTCTTCGCGAAATTCTTTTTACTTCGTTTTTCGTAAAATTGCCAAACTTAGAAGTAATCATCTCGTCTATTCAATCAGCTCACTCTCTCTCTCTCTTTTGCACAACTCGTCTTGGTAGCATTTCGATTATTGGAATCTCTAAAGCAGGCTTCTTTCTCGTGATCCCTCTTTCTCTCTGCTCTCTTTAACTCAGTTGACATTTGAACTTTTTCTTCAATTAACAGAATCATAGAGGCTTTCGATTGCCGTCACTCAGCTTCAGAGTGTTTGAGAAAGCTATCTGTGTCTTCCGCTAGCATCACATTAGCCAAATTTCGCTTGTCGTGTGGAATATTGCAATAGAGCTTATTTATAATTAATATCTAGCGATCATGTTATCTGCTATTCGTCCTACTGAGCCCGCTATGAACAACAGAGCTGAAGACATATTGAGTGGATTTAAACTGTGAGTCAATCTATAATTTGATTTGTTATAAACTATAAAATTCAGAAATTGGATGAACCTTAGAGATGCCGAGAGTGGGAAAATTCTTTGGCAGAGCACAGAGGATATGGCTGATCCGAACAAAGAACATGAAGGTTTGTTAACAAGCAAAGTAAAACAAAATAGAATGGCATTTCCCGTTGCAACACACAGTGTGGTCTAGTTTCGTACTTCGTACTTCATTCGATTACCCTCTCATCTTGATCTCAAACCAGCCAAACTATATAATCTGGTAGAACCTTGGTCAGCTATGAAATATATGATTTTGTTTAATATACCCATGCAGTCTAGAATGAAATAGAAACTAAATTAATATTCTCACAAAACTCCCAAACACCATAAGAGGTTGTTCTGGTTTCTGAATCTCAGAAATTAGCGATAAAGATTTGATCAACACAACATGTGTACTAGCATGGCCGATCGTGTTCATAGACTTGTCTCAAATGTCCTTTCATTAACCATCTTCATCAATAATCTTAGCGAACCCGAACCTTTTCGGCTTCATCCTCTTCCGCTAGTCTCCGGTGTGACACTGACGGTGGACAATAACAGTTGATCTATGATATTATAGTGATTTAAAATCCAGTCTAATTATGGCTCATCTTCAAAATAAAATAGGAAAAGCAAACTACTTGTTTTGAAGAGCTAATCTGCGATTTCAAAATCATGTCTCAGCTTTATCCGAATCCTCATTATCTTAGGTCTGGGGCGGTAGTTCGTCATCATAGACAACTGGGAAGATTGAACCAGAGTGTATATTTGCCATACATCTTGTTTAACCTTTGGACTTTGGTACCCGTTGATCCATGATTCCATGGTAATAACCAATGCAATTTAACCTTAGTCCATTTTCAAATAAACATGGAAAGCAAACTACATGTTTTGAAAGCCAATCTGAGATTTCAAAATTTTGTCTCAGTTGAATCCGAATCCTCAATATCTTAGGCCTGGGGCGGTAGTTAATCATCATAGACAGTTGGCGAGATCGAACCTGGGCACACAGATTTTGATCAAACGCGTTACCAGTGCACTATAGTGTTCACTATTGCATAGACCAAACTGTTCTATTTAATTTGTTTGGATCGTTACTGAATAGTTTTCTTATAGCTCATGTACCCAAAAGTATTCTGAAATGTCGGACAGTTTCTCGTGAAATCAATTTCACGTCAGCAGAAAAAATCGAGAAGTTTAGGCTTGAACAACGTGTTTTCTTGAAAGGGAACATCATCGAAGGTAGGAAAAAGAAAATTGGGGGAAAAACAAGCAATTAACTTCCAGAATGGTATTTTGAATTCGGTTTCGTTATTCCTGAATCGACAAACACATGGCAAAATTTGATAGAAGCAGCTCCTGAATCGCAAATGCTTCCCGCGTCTCTATTAAGGTATTTGGCATAATCATTCATTGTGAGTAAGTCTCTAAATTGTTTGTTTTCAGTGGGAATGTAGTTGTGGAGACGCTGTTTTACGATGATAACCTCTTGGTTAGTACTTCCAAAGTCCGCCTTTTCTATGACTAATGCTGTGATCGAAGCATACACATAAAACTAAAATTCAAAAACTATGATCTCATTACAACCTTTCAATCTTAATTAATCATACTTCTCCTACCTAATGTAAAATTGATTTGACATTACCATTAATGTAATACACTATAAATAAATATTTAAACATATGTTTATAAGCACGCTCCAGTGAAATATTACTGTAACCCTCAAGCCATGAGCCTTGAAGATGAGTCATCATGCTCTGAGGTGTGTCTTCAGAATATTGCCGCAAAAACTTCCGAATCTCCATGAATAAAGACTTTCTGCACTTGTCCGCGTCGTATCGATTTTTTTCAAAAACTTACTTCTTCATTCCAACAGTCGCTTTTTGTTGACTACCGTTCCCAATATTACCGTATAAATAGCAAATACTATTATTCTTTTGTAACAATACAGTTGTCATTCAAGGTACTAGTCCAAAATGTGGAGATCAACCGTAGGCGTTAAGCCTCCTGTACCTGTTAAACCAGCGCAAGCTGATGATGATGATTGGGACACCGATCCAACGTTTGAGGTATATCATCAATGCTGTGCGAAATATATGGATACTTCTACTCGTTGCTTTAGAATGATCTCACAGAAAAAGAAGCTCGTTGGGGATCTAAAACAGTTGAAGGATCAGGTCATCAAGGTAGTTTCAGTTTGGAACAGTTCCGAAGAGAGGCTTTGGATTCCGATAAGCTTAATCAGGTACAGCATTGCTCCATCTGAAATATCTTGATTAGTAATGAAGTTAATACGTGAAAAAAAGAACAACCGATCCTGCGCGTCTTTTTCATAAAAATGAAACACGTCAAAACTGAAAAATGATTATGCTAATTTACGTGATTATTGATTTTCCTATTGAAACTTGTAGGAGAAGAAGCTGGCCACTATGCCCAAGCCAAGTGAGGGTTATGGTGGCAAATTTGGTGTTCAAACTGATCGTATGGACAAAGCTGCTGAAACATTTGATTACAAGGGTCAAGTGTCAGCTCATGCTTCTCAAAAGGATTATGCAGTGGGCTTTGGTGGAAAATATGGAGTTCAAGCTGACAGAAAAGACAAATCAGCTGTCGGTTGGGAAGACCGTGAGGCTCTATCAAAGCATGAAAGTCAAAGAGGTATTAAACAAATGAGTTAGTTCTGTAATGCTTATCTCAAAGATGCCGCCGCGGGGTACGGAGGTAGATATGGAGTTCAAACTGATAGAAAAGATAAATCGGCTTCTGGTTGGGATGAGAAGTCTGAACTTTCCAAACATGAAAGTCAGAAAGGTAATGCTTTGATTATACAATATTCCCTTTTATATCCAAACATATCTTCACTTATGAGTCATACAGATTACGCCATTGGTTTCGGCGGTAGGTTTGGCATCCAAAAAGATCGTCAAGACAAAAGCGCCTACGGGTTTCATGAGAGAGCAGATCTTGCTTTACATGAGAGTCAGAAAGGTTATTAGATTGACTAAAACCTATGTAATTCTCACTGTGTGCGTTGTGCTCTTGAACTTACTGTCCTAATCGTATAACTTCCCTATTGTGTGATCTTAACGGCAATCATATGTTCAAAAAAAATTATCTTCATTTTTAAGATGCCGCTTCTGGATATGGAGGAAAGTTCGGAGTTCAAGCTGATAGACAAGACAAGTCTGCCGTTGGATGGGGGGAGAAAAGCCAAGTCAATCCTCATGAAAGCCAAACTGGTAAGCTCTACTAATTTTGTGCAACAGCTACGGGTTGTTGTAGACTACAAGAAAGGCTTTGGTGGCAAATTTGGTATCCAAGAAGACAGAAAAGACAAGTCTGCTGTTGGATGGGAGGAACAGACTGTTCTTCATCAACACGAAAGTCAAAAAGGTAGAAAGTTATTCGGTAACAGGCTAAATCTATATCATATCCTTTATTATATAGATTACAAAAAAGGATTCGGCGGTTCTTTTGGTGTTCAACAAGATCGTCAAGATAAATCAGCTGTTGGTTTCGAGTATCGCGAACAGTTATCAAAACACGAGAGTCAGAAGAATAACACATGTGAGTTTCGTCGCTTAACAATTTCTCTCAAACTCGACCTTCAGCTTACACTGCTAAGGATAATCAAACTCGTGCGAATGACCCTCATGAGAGCCAAGCTGCCCCAGCCGTTAAGGAATATGTGCCTGAAAAGGGGAGAGCATCTGGACTTAAAGCGAGATTCGAACAAATGAACTTGTCAAGTGTACGGGCTTACTGTTGATATCTAAAACAGAGTACGTTTTTGCAGGATCAAGATAAGGTTGCTGCTGAGCGTGAGCGAAGAAAGCAAGAAGACGAAGCACTGAGGCAGAAGCAAGCGCGAGAGGAAGTATGTTACATATCCCTATCCATCACGATGTTGTCTCATTTTTAGGAAGAGAGGCAGAAGAAGATTGAGGCTACGTGGAAGCAACAAGATGATCGAGGAGATGTTGAACCAGAACCACATAGGGAGCCTCAAGTGGTTAGTTAATTTAGGTTTTTGTTCTGACTGAATCATTAAATCTAGGTTCCCACTACAAAAAGATCAGGCCCTGTTGCGGGAGCTGTTCAAATTCCCGGTTTCTCAGCTGCAGCAGCTACCCCAAGCCAAATTCAACCGGTACGAGCTGCATCTCCCCCAAGTGCACCAAGAGAAGAGCCCCCACAACCCATTCCTGCTCCCGTCGCCGTTCTACCACCCATCGGAAGCGGAACCGGTACTTAAGAAAACCAATAGAGAAAAAACTGACTATCTTTCTTCCAGTTCTTAAACCTCCAGTTCGTCAGCCTTCAACGGATGATGAAGGTGTGAACGACGCTGAATGGGAAGAAGCGGACAAACCAGTTAACATAACCCCTGTAAGACCTACTCAACCCCTTGAACAGTATGATGTTGTGCCTTCCGAAGAGGTTCGCTAAATTAGATATTCCTTTCCAATATAATTTTCAGCCAGCACCTGTCACTTTGCCACCTTCTCTGCCGACTTCTCTTCCTCCTCAGTATGACTTTGTTCCCTCGGAATTGCCTTCCTCAGCTTCAAACGTACCTCCACCCGCTCCTGCAGTATATGGGGACAAGTACGATGAAGTGCCCAGTGATATGATGGGAGGTCAACCTGTGGGAGAAAGATATGACTGTGTCCCAGGAGACTATACAGATACACCAGTCTTAGTTAGTCTAAAACGCCTGTGAAAACATAATGAAGTTCATTCAGACTGGATCAGCTCATGCTCCCCCACCTCCTGGTCCTTCATCTACGAAAGGTGGTCTGACAGCAATCGCCTTATACGACTATCAGAAGCAAGATGATGACGAGATCAGTTTTGAACCGGATGACATCATTAGAAACATAGAGCAGGTTTTCTTCATTATTTGTTCGGTCGCCTGTAAACATATGTTTGAGATTGACGCTGGATGGTGGAGAGGACAGTGCAACGGACAGTATGGTCTGTTCCCGGCTAATTATGTACAATTACAATAATACCCTTCTCGGACTTCTGAGTTCTCGACTTATCATTTACCTTAAGCTCATTAATGTATTTATCACTTAACCTGTTTGTGATGCGTCTGTTAGGTTTCTATGCTTTGTATAAACTTTCTAATTAAGGTTTATTTCACTGTTGGAAACTAAAATACACATCTAATTACGGTTATCAGTTAGAAGTTTATCTGTATTCGCCATACTGTTGTTTGTGGTTACCCCAGTATTCTGGATCCTCAGCAGAATCGGCTGGGATTCCTAACTCCTCATCTGTGAACTCATGGAGATGAGGCATGTACCAATGGCCCTAAACGTTATTAGAAACAATATCTGATTTTGATCTTACGAGAATATGACCAGAGTGGTAATACATGTGATAGGTGAACCAAGCCCAGAGAACGGTAGAAATGAAATATGTCAAGGTACGGTCAATGTGGGTTGTTCCCATAGTTGGAGTACGATAGAAGTAACTGAACAGTGAAGTTAGACAAGCTATGAAGATTTCAAGCCTTACTCAGGAATTGGTTTATCTCCCTTAGAAACAGTACCGCGGTAATCACCGTCATAAGTATGAAGCTCTGGATTTTCAGAAGCTCCCATTTTGCCTCCTACTGGTACGTTTGGACCGACTGCATCTTCACCCCAGGCCATTCGTGTTCTGGTAGAGAAGAATGAAGAAAACAATTGAGTACTCAGCAAACCTGAGAGATCCTAGTGTCGTTCTTCCGCCAATAGTTCCACGAACTCGGAGTTGCTGAGCGGCAATAGAAAAAAGGCGATGGCCCAACATCTAAACAATGTCTTATAATCTAGTTGAGTGACAAAAGCAAAGTAACAATCAGATAAAACTGATCTCGCGTTGAGGACGAATGGAGTTAAACTGTTTAACAAGATTGAAAACAATATTTCGAACAAAAATCAATAACAAATAACAACGAGAGCCATTACTATAAGAAGAATCGTCTTCTGCTGGTCTCCATTTCGTGTCTCTGCAAAGAAATCAGTATTGAGCACGCTAGTAACAGTATACACACCTTAAGAACCCATTCGAATTCACCCCAACGTGTGTCGAATGTGCCTTTCTGTAACCACTTTAGTCTTAAGGTAAATCGTGGTCCTAGTTCTAGTAGCGCCGCTTTCTGACCTTCTTTCTTGAATTCGTACCTAGATGAAACAAATTTTATACTTTGAGAGCATTATATGATACCTATGATGTCGGAAGAAGACATAATCACGTTGGTTATGAAGAGTGACTACACGTCTTCCTTTGAAATTAGGATCATGAGGGAACAAACAAGCAAACATTCTTGCTATTCTGAAAATATGAGAATCAGAATCTTTCATCATCTTGTCCACTTACGAGTGTCCCAGTCTAGTGTTGAAGTTATTTAAAATTACTTCAGGATGATGACTAGTAGTTTCGCCAATTTTCTGAAAACGCAAATTTCATTTTGTCGAGCGAGACGTGCAGAAGCGGTTGTTCCCTAGCTTACCTTTTTGATATCTTTAGTGAAGGTTAAGCTATTAATTTTGAAATATGCGGTTGGTCCTTCAGGTAAGTGACAGAAGATGATTCCATCTATGAAGAAGTTTGTTTTTGAAAAATAATTGCTAACTTACTTGGTTTCTTATTATCTTCGTGGACAACGATCAAATCAGTGTACTCCTTGGCTATGGCTTGTTTCACAACCTGAATCAATGGCTTTACGTGACAAAACTTCGATCATTCCATACTTTTTTCAAAGGAACACCTTTTCTCGAGAAAATTTCAGCATCAGGAATTAATTTCATCATTTCATAACAGAACTTCCATGTGGTACTCTTGGCGAAAGGTGACATGGTTAATAGAACTTTTGGTGTCGTCTCACGGTTGAAGTAAGAAGCAAACTCGTCATGAGCTTCATCGTGCTCAACCTTAAACACAAATTATATGATGCTGAGAAAGGAATGAGAACCTCTTCGTCTTCTTCTACTACCATAGTCTCGTCATACTCACGAGTGCTTTCAATGGTTTTCGGAACTTCTTTCGCTGGGGCATCTTCTCCCAACTGCTCACGGATCTCAGCTCTTTCTTTCTGTCTGTTCTTCTTATCCTAAAAGACACATAGGATGAAGAGTGGTTGAGTAATCTGACACACCTTTTTCAGAGCCTTCCTTAATGCTTTACCTCTTTCATGCTTCTGTAAATGCTTAAAAGATTCCTTTTGAGCTGTTGGCTGGAATAGATAAAGGATGGGTGGGATTACAGGAAAGGGCTAACCGTAGCCTTCGATTCGTCATATCGTTTCTTGAGGTCTTCTGCTTCTCTCTTGGAGATTGAAACATCTTCTCCCTCCTCTTTAATCTTCCTTTTCGGAGCCATTATACTATCTGGAACAGACAACATATGAACAATGATCACATTGAGTGACAAGTATGACTTGGTGATTCAAACACCTCCCTTCATAGGAAAATAGACTAGACAGGCGAGAATTAATAAAACAATGAAACAATGAGTAACCGTTGAAATTGAGCGCATGTACATGACATTAAAACCGAATCACACTTATGGACAAATAGAATAGAAGCAAGATACGAATCAGATCACAGCGGTATGGAACACGAGATATCCACGATAATACCCTAATAAATACAAAAAATAATACTTTAGACGTCGTCATTTTCTTTTTGGCTGTCATGGTTTTCTTCCAGTTCAACAGTCTCTTCCACTTCAGGAGTCTCTTCCTCTTCCGCATCATCTTCTCTGACTTCTACAGATGCAGCTTCTGTTATATGATTTCCAGCTGTTTGTGATGGTTTCTGAAGTTTAAAAACTTCTAATTGGGTCTTAGCAGCAACCCTCTTGCAGCCGGAGCTAGAGAATACTTTCGAGTCTTGAGGGAAGTACTAGAAATGAAGATATGAGAACTATCAAGGAAGCAACCTCGACTTGCCTGTAATGAGTTCAAAACCTCATTCATGAAGTTTGACGAGCTAATAAGCTTTTCGGCAACGTCTTTAAACCTAGTTCTCAAAAATTGATGAACGCATAAAACGACATGTCTCCTCTCCAAAGGCAAAAACGGTACATAATGATCGATCAATTGGTTCTTTATTATATTCGTATGTTTTAAACCTCCTGAATAGAACTTGAGACTGATAGAACGCTAAATATAACAACCTTCTTCTACGAATGCCTTGTGCATTAACGTCCTCTCGAAATCATGTAGAACAAGTCCTTCTCTAGGTTTTCCATTCATGTACTGACTGAGAGCCATATTAGCGATCTCATCTCCACCTCGATTACTAAAATAACTTTCGAAGCGACCTAAGTGAATCATTTCAAACCTCAAAAAGATAAATATGGATTTTCTGAAATCGATTCCATCAATCTTATCATAGTAGTCAAGGAAAGGTTTAACAGTCTCTGAAAAGGTAAAAGATTCATTACTTTACAGTGAGTCACAGTTACCCAGGAGCCTCTCAGGCATTTTGTCAACTTCGTCCAGGATGAAAATGGACCGACCACATTTCTTACCCGCTTCCAAGATTTTCTCTCTTAATGTCTTCTGTACAAAGAGATTCAATTGTGGAGGAAGACCATTCCTAACCTGATACTGTGAAACCTTGTTCTTATCCGGGAAATGAACAGTGGCTATGAAGGTATGAACAAATGAGCTTGCTGCTCCTTTCCTACAGTTCTTACTATTACGTAGAAGTTAGGCTATTACTTACGTGTACAAATTATCAGCTATTATTCGTGATACATGGTTCTTTCCACACCCTGTGGGACCATGAAAAGCCAAAACAAGAGGCTTCTCTGGGTCAGAATTCTTCCAATGAGCGACTATTGAGTTCCAAATGTCAACCTGCACTTTATGAATGTGACGAAAAATCTGGAAAAATTCCAACCTCAACCAAGTGTTGTCCGAAGACTTCTTCTCGCAACTGTTTTAACATTCCTTAACGAGATTTAAGATAAGACATTGGATAGTTATGCTTACTTCCGAAGTTGTGCTTGAGGTAAACGTCTTCGCAACATTCGTAGACCAAGCATTTAGCTTTCTCCTTGACAGCAAAGAAGATTCCTACACCACCAATCACCACTCCGGCTAAAGTAGAAAGAGTGAAGAAAGAGGAAAAACTTTCTTACATGTGAGCAAAGAGAACACTTCAGCACTCACAGCCAATATCCCAGAATACATCAGCAGTATATACCATATCCTCATTGTTCTGTTGGAAAAGAATAAAAATAAATGAGCGATCATAGTCAGTATAGGTTCAGTAACCAAGAAAGTGAGCGATAGAAAGAGAATCGGAAAACCCTCAAAATGTATTGGGTAATAATCAGTTATAATATAAAACAGTGCTAATCAGACGATAAACGTTGAGCAAGAGGTAAGAACTCCAATGCTCGTACCATTGTTGATCTTGGACCAGGCTCCTTATCCCACTCCCACAACAAAAGTTCAGATCTTTTAGAAGTTATATCATATGATGGAGTGGAAGAAGCAGCTGAACACAACACTTTCAAACATCAATTAGTATATTAACAAACCATTCCGAGCACTTTGTTTAAGAATGAAAAGGTTGTAGCCTTCAGGCATGGAAATGTTTTTGCCCTCTAAGCTGTGTCCCCGAAAAGAAGCTTTACACGTATCATTTTCCTTTTCTACCATAAAGTAACTGAAAATTGAAAGGATGACAAAATTAAAAACTGTTTTGTAGAAACCCATCAATATCAGCAGGACCTGTGTAGTCTATTTTACATGGAATTGAGTGAAGAACGGATTGGTTAGTATTAGATGAGATCGATGAGATTTTAACAGAAGTCGGCTCCATACTCGGTGCTACAAAAAACAGCTTTAACTTAGAGAGAATCAACAAAAGAAAAAAAAACGAAAAAAACATGAATTGAAACAAGTAACAACCTAGGGGCTCCTAATTGGAATATATTGGCAAGATTATCAGCTAAGGATAAGGAAGAGTCCCACTCAGTACATTCAATCTCACGGGTTTTCCCAAATGTGCCCAAACACAATGTGTTAGGAAATTCCTGTGGATTCCTCCAATCTATTGTTAGTTCTACGTTATGTGATTGGTTTTCAGACTACAAAGGGATAATGTGAACCGAATAACAGCTTACAAATCACCTCAAGTTTCAATTTTACATCAAAGCATTCGTTATTGTCCTCATTGAGACCGTAACCAACTAAGGAACAGCCTGGGACGTTCTCGATATCACGAATGATCCCAATGCATTCATCTATCTCTTCACAATACTTTCTATAGTCATCACGGATAGCTGCTAGGCAACACTAATCACGAATACTAAGAGAGTTAAGAAAATGTAGACTCTAACCTCCGCCTCATTATTATTCCACTCAGAAACAAAAGCTAGCTGATAGGCACACTTATAGATTGGAGGGTCGATTGGAAAATTCTTTGACGGTCGGAATGATATCCAATATTCACCGTTTCTGTAGCATCTCGTGATATATTATAAGAAATTGGACGAAACCTTAATTCGAAATGGTAAACAGGAGCTAAAGGATCCAACAAGTCAAGGTTCTCTTTGGGTAAGCTATAGACTTGTTGAAGCCAAGGCCATAAGTAATTAGGTAAGTCAGGTAGCTTCATCTTCTTCACTTTCCCCTCATAGAGATAGGACCAAACAGGATCCTCCAGAGACAAGCCAACACTCATCTCACAAAAAACAAGGACGTCATGGGTGATAAAAACACAAGGGAATGAAATAGCGAGAGGTATATGACCTGTCGTTCAAATTAACGAAGCAAAGAAGAAATTAATAGTTTCGAATTCCGCAACAACAACAGTAACAACAAATAACAACAATAACAATATTCATAACACTAATTTATTCAAGTTGCTGTAACCGATTCCCATTCCTGTGACCATAGATTTGTTCAAGCTTCCCATAGCTAAGCTCTCCTGGAATAGACACGATTAGTCTTTAACAACTGACCAACTAACCTGCTCTTCTGTAACAATTTTCCTCCATTCTTCTATTTTGAATTGAACTTCGAAGAATTTCTTTAAATGTCTCAAACAGTTAACACTGAAATATAGTTGAACGTAGTGGAGGTCAAGAGAAAAACTGATACCTATACACAGTGAATGGGCCGAATAAAAATTTGGAGACATCTTTCTGACATAAAGTAACAAAAGTAGCAGCTAAAGATTGAGCAGAACTATCCAATGATCCTCCCTATAACGTGAACTTTACGCAGTCGCACTTGCTAAAGAACTTACAGCATGAATCTGATTGAGTAAAGCAACAGCAGCTTGGTTTCCTATCTCTTCAGCAGTCAAAGGATCTCCTTCGACTCCTTTGGGGCGAGAAATAGCTTCCCCGTGATAGACAACACCTTCAGTTGTTTCAGCGGTTAAAAACAAACCATAACCAGGTGATCTGGAAAGAGATAGTTACAGAAATAACTATAAAAAGAAATTAATCCTACTTTCCTCCTCCATCACCTTTACGGTGATCAACAGTAATGTAAACGTCTGCTATATATCCTGTTAGTGTCTTTTTGGCTTCAGTGATCATTCTGTATGCCACAGAGGGGGTTACTTTGGAGACATAAGCGTATCCTCTAATTTTGCAAACTTTTCCAGCTTTCTCTCTCTGAATCAAAACGAATATAACAAGAATATTATGATATGGACAAACCTTAGGCGAACGGAGTGTTTTTACAATGGGTGCTGTGAATATAATTGAACCACCTCCATCAGGCATCAAGCCACGTGCACTTATCTATTATTTTTGACGTCAAAGGTTTAAGTTTCATAAATCCTACCTTGAGATCCAGCTTCTCATCATTTAGAACAAACTTGTTATAAACAGAAAACCATGTACCCTTAATGGCATCGACTGATAACTCGTCAGGAGCATTAGTAACACCTGAAATTACAGAACGAAAATGGCACTAAACAAACTGTTTTACCTTTGAGTTTCGCAACTAATGGATTCTTACAGAAGGGAGAAATCATAACCAAAGGTTCCAAAAAATATGATAAACACCTTGAACTACCACAATCAAAAGTAACATTGCCGCCAATGATTAATCCAGGTCTTATAGTAACCATAGTACCTTGAAGCAGTAGTATGCAAAGAGAGTTAGTACTAGCACAAACCTGTAGCTCCTATTTCTATTCTTGTTCCATTCGTAATTCTGTCTATCAAATTCAAGAGCTTACTTTCGTAATCTTAATGATAGAAGTTGTTTTACATTATACTACGGGATTCACCTCGAATTCCAGGTGCATCTTCATTCTTTCTGATATTTCTAATTTTGATCCGCCTACCGCTCAAAATTGAATAACATATGCGTAATCGGAAAAAGTTGCATCCTTCGAAGCATAGCTCCTCACTCATTTCATGAACTTAAAAGAAAAAATTCAGTAATGTTAAAAAACTTAAAACTACATAGAAAGTGCTTTACATTCAAGATTGCTACCCCCCAAGAAGTATACTGTATCTCATTGGAGCGCGCTATCTTGTAACAATTTGATGTGCCTACTGATAAATGAATTTGCTAAATAGGAGTTAAAAATTAAATTAATTATATTTATCTTTCATCAACCACCGTTTTATCATCTCACATTCAGTATTCTTTGAATTTCACGTCACGTTCACGTGAATACGTTATTTTCATTTCTACCTTTGCAAACGCAGCGACCGGTTGGTTTCAATTTTTTTTAAAAACTCGAGCAATAGGGGAACCTATGCCCAATTTTTTTTTCGAACCATGTCTTTTTCCATGATTTTGGTTTTTCTTAGTAGTTTACCGCTACTTTTCCAACTTGTTTGTGCTATTAAGATCTAAGGTAGAAGGTCATTAGCATATTCTCATGTTATATTTGTGCTCAGCACTATTGAAGAGAGTTTATCCTATAATGACTAGAAATCTGGTCTAGAAACGATCGTTCTCCTAGAAATAGCTATTAACCGTCTTCGTTTCAATCTTCATATCATATACGCTACACTGGTTGGATAGTAGCTCCTATTATGACTGGAGACCCTAGGCGATTGAAGATATTCGTGTTCGGAAGGTGGTGAAGACGACCACCCCGAGGATCGGTCTACTGGCCACTGTCTAGTCTCCACCCATTCGTTCTAATCGCCTCCGCCTTCTCCTTTCCCTTCATCATCAGCTCTCTACGTCCGTTCTTCTAACTGTATTCTTTCTGTCTATTCGATTGTTACATCTGTACTTTTTAACTCAAAAATGGCAAATCACGGGCCAAGTTATGGTTTAAGCAGAGAACTCGAGAAGAAGGTGAGTATTTTCAGTTTTATTCCGAGTTATTCCTGCTTGATATGTTTCTGCATGCCTTCAAAATACTTTAAAGAATTGAAATCTTCTCACGAAAAGATTTTAATTTTTGAAATATTCGAAAAATTTGCAAAATCGCTGGTACTTCTTCCATTTTGCTCTTTCAATCACATTTTAAGCTTTTGGTCAAACAATTTTCTCGAAAAAAATTTGATTTTTGTGACTGCGACTACATAGGATGACGCGTTGCAAGTGTTTTTCTCTTGCTCTTCCTCAAATAAGACGATAGATTTACCTTGCATAACGAAACTCCTTGATATGGATGTTTGAGAACATTCAGCTTACACGTATCATACGGCTGTATGAAATCGGATCGAATTTCGCTTCTTCCTAATGATCCATTTGCTAACGTGTTCCTTCTTACCAGGTTTTGACTATCATTTTAATCTTTGATGGCTTTTCAGCTTTCTACACAGGTAGAATAAATCCGCTCATGCTTCATTTCCCTTCAATCAATGAGGATGAATGAACGAACGGTCTTAAAACTATTTAATAGTCAAGATTTTGAATATCATGTCATTCGCTCTCTTTGTGAATGTGTCATCTAACGAGCGACTATAATATGACGATGATAGTTATCGTCAACTTCTTTCATATTTGGCTTGATCATACTTTCGCTACCAATCTCCTATTCTTCCTTTTCTTCTCGTTCTTCTCTTTCTCCTCAATCCGTTTTCGTTCAGTCTAATTTCTGTTTCTCATTTCTCGCGGTATTTCCCATTCCTCCGATCTCAGTATTTCGTCCTGGATTGGGACGTCTTTCCTTTTTATTTACGGTAACGTTCGCGTGCTTGCCAAGGCCATTCAGTATTTGTACACAGATTCGCTCTATAGTGTTGTGGATTAACTGAAACCAATTAGGCAGGTCATATGAGCATTCAAGATAATCATAGGATATATTGCCAAATCCTCATAAGCTACTTTCTAGACTCTTTACTCCACCATTGTAACATTGACAGTTCAAGTTTCAAGATGAAAGATAATAAACATCTTCTGTAATAATTGCCGTGGATACAGTTTATGTGGGTCGATCGACATAAGAAGTTGAAAGATAGCCCTCCCTTATTGATTGACTAAATTATCTTAATAAGGATTTTGGAAATAACTAATCACCATTTTCTCCTACCTGTCTTCTTTCGTCTACTCAGACATCCGGGAGTCTTTCGTAGCTTTTTTTCCCTCCAACATCTTCATTTATAAAATGCATTTATTTTCTTCAAACTGATCTCATTTAGAACAACGCTCGATTCAATCTCGAAGAGGCTATCGAAGTTCTCTTGTGGGTGGAACAAGTGTCACAGCTTCCGTATCAAGCTGACCCAACAGTTTGTCAGTCTGCCCAAGAGGTTTCAGATCTTCTGAAGGATGGTGTTCACTTATGCAAGTAATTCCGCTAAACATCACAACTTCCAAATCTTTTTGCTTACTATTCAGAGTTATAAATCGTTTGATGGGAGAGGGAACAAGAGTCCCATATAATGCTCGACCAAAGATGCCTTTCCATATGGTGAGAATATCAAACAGTATAAGAGACTTATATCAATTTCAGATGGAAAACATCAGCAATTTTTTGGAAGGTTGTAAATCGTACGGTGTCGCTGAGATAAGTTGTTTCCAGACAGTGGATCTTTATGAGAACAAACAGTGCTACAAAGTCATTGAATGCTTACGCTCTCTAGCAGCTGTGGTAAGTCCATGATATTGAAACTAAACTGAACCTGATTAACATAGGCTCAAGCTCGAGATGCTCCTGTCGCTTTCCCAGCTTGGGTTGTTCGTTTATCACAAGGACGACCTCGACAGTTTCCTGAAGCTGTGATGAGACGTGGAGAGATGGTAATCCCATTGCAAGTGAGTCAATACTTCGAACCTAAACCTTACTGTTATTCGTTTTTATCTTGATATTTTTTAGTATGGAACTAACAAGTGTGCTAGTCAAAAAGGAATGACGCCATATGGATTATGCCGACAGATCAAACCAGACACTTCATGCTGACAGGGTCAGAACCTTTTCTGAAAACATCTAATCTCATTCAAATGATGAAGTTTTATTTTGATTATTTACTAATTGAGCAATTTTGTCGATTTTCGAAAGTATAAACCTGTAGTAATAAATATCTACTAAGATTTGTGTCTCCACGTCGAACAATACAAAGACCAAGTGTCGATTGAGTACAGGTGTACGCTAACAGAACTTTGATTCATGAGCCAATTAAAAAAACGCCCTGTTTATCTTCGCCGCAAGGCAAAGAGTGTGAAACGGGTATGTTTGAAGCAAAAAAAGAGAGAAAAAACTAAAGATGAAGCTAGTACCGGAT